CGCGCGCCACCAGCATCCCCCGCTGGCTTTATCCGGACGCCGCCTCTCCGCTCCGGCACCTCGACGTCCCGGCGCGGCGCTCCCAAGCCCCCCCCACGCCGCGTCCCATTGGCACGCACCACCCCGCCCGGCCCGGCGCTCACTGGGGCAGGCGCCCAGCACTCACACGGCCCCGCCCCCGCACCCTCTCCCCGTTGGCTGTCGAGCGTCCAGCCCGCCCCCCGGCACCGCCCCTCCGTGCTTCGGCCAATCGCCATGCAGCGAGCGGCGAGCCGAGCCATCGATTGGCGGTGCCCGCCCGCTTCCCGTGGCTGTGATAGGCCGGGGCGGAGGGGGGTCCCGCCCCCGGAGCGCTCGGAGCGCCGCTCTCCCCGAGCCGACCGCCTCCCGCCCGGGCAGCGCCCCAGCCCCCGGAGGCTAAGGAGAGGTGGGGAGAGCGGCCCCTGGGAGAGAGCAGGACCGATCGCTACCGTTAAGAAGGCCGGTATCATCAAAGTAGCCGCGAATCAAACGGCGTTCTGGGAACGCAGCGGAGTGGCTGGGAAACATCAAGGAAGTCTCCTGGCTGCTGAGGCTCCACAGAGGTCCCGCCGCGCCGTGCCCATGCCGTCAGGGCGCTCCTTTCGCCCGTAGGAAGCGGTCGGAAAATCCGCCCTTCCCCCAAGCGAATAAGGGCAAATATTTGTGTCTCGGCCAGCTGCACAAATGCTGAGATATCGCCTTTTTGCCAGGAATTACTCGCGTTGTTCTACCAACGCGAAGAGCCGGACTTCCCCCGCAGAAGCAGCCTGGCTCCCAGGAAGCCTGCGGGGCAGGGCAGGGCAAGCTGCCGCCACCCCTGCATGGCATATAAAGCACTTGGACTGCTCTGGCCATTGGATATTCGCTTTGATTTCATGTAGTTCCCACAGGCGCCAAGCTGCAAGATTTATCGCAATGCACTGGCAGCGAGGCGGAGTAAAAAAATAATTCACAACATCATCCTCAGAAAACTGAGCTGCTACTGGGACTGGCCAGGGTTTCACAAATACAACAAGTCAGGTGGCTGGAAGTAACAATGCAAAAGATCTGGGAGCCAATGTTAATAGAAACAGTACCAACATTAACGTTTTAACTAGTTAGAAAGTAACTATATTTATCGTTAAAGTGCCTTAAAGCTTCCAGGCTTAAAAAAACCCCAAAAAAACAGAGGGGGGAGGAAAGAGAAAAACAAAGTGTGATAAAATAACACAAGATTTGCAAAATAGCAATAGAAAGAATCCTGAAGTCAACATTTTCCCACTGTTAAACATAAGCCTGTCATGAAAGTACTGTATTATAATAAGCATTTCCAACAAAACCAGAAGTGAAAAGTACAAAGAACAAATGAACTAGCACAACAGTTGTAATAATTTCTATTAGAAAAAGTTCAAAGTTCTATTCCACAGTTTTTACTATTATAGTTTATTTGGAGTAAAAGCCCCGCAACTACTTATGTCCATGTGCTGCATACCCTTGAGACAGATGATGTACATCAATTTGCAGAAATCAGTAGAAAAAGAAAGCAGGAGAGGAAAAAAATAAAGGTATCCTGGTAGCTGAGGTTAACTCTTTCCTATAGATTTAAGAACTTTGTGGGGTACTTTTTACTGTATTTTAATAATTGTACCACAGTCCAAATATGGGTGACAGACCTTACAAGAAAAACAGGATTCATTGCTACTGTTGTTGTGCATCATTTCAGATGAATGAAGCAAAGTAAGTCGCAAGTTGCTTCTGATTTTGAAGTTATTCTGAGTTAGGGGCTCAGTGATCCTCCCAATAAATGCACGTAACTGAGACAAGAGCACCAGAATCTCACCACCAATGGAAATCAGACCACTGGTATTTAACCCTGAGCATGTGAACTTTATAAGATGTCAATCACTGTCAGAACCCAAGTGCTCCTTTATCTGCCAGCTTTACAAAATAGCTCTAAAGATTATTTAACATGTAAAGTAATTTTCAAAATACATTACAGTACCAGTCAATATTAATAGCAATCATTATCTACGTGGGTAAAGTCCTTACTAATTGAGGCTATGGCTATCAGCTCCTCAAAGACACCCACTCTTGGTTCTTGCTGACATGCCATAATGCTTCAGGCAAATAACTGATTCTTTGTTTGCCACCAGTTGTAATAGTTACAACAATGTTCTTTTTTTCTTTTTGTTATGAGGCACTGTTATTTCCTCATTAGGGAGAGATTTTTCCAAATACAGTCCTGTTAACTCTTGGCAGCCACCAGAACCTCTCAGCTGTTGCATTTTACTGTATTGTCCAAAGCACCAAGCAAAAAACAACAGAAAAAAAGTAATCACTATTCACATTGTTCTATGTACTTGAGCTCATACACTTCCAGTACTTGTTTCAGAACCTTTTCTTACCAGATCAGCGTTTACCCCAACTCTTTCATATATATAATGGTTTTAGTTATGTCTTATACAGTATTGTTAAACTTATTTGTTAGGCCACCTCCTTGTTTTGCAGTGGAGTTGTATAAAACCTGCCACTGACTGTTAATAAGGGGATGAAAAAACAATCTATCAGAAAGATAAACTTTTAAACCATTTGACAGATTGCACAGAGCTCACTCTTATAATTCTTTGAGCTCCACCTTCAAGAGTTCTGAATATACACCACTTTGTTTTGCAAAGTACTGCAATTAGAAACCATGTGACTTTTCACACCTTACAACTTGTTAACATAAGTAATCGGTTCATATTAAGAGCCACTCATAATTTGGAAGTTTTCATTTTTCCTTTGAGGCTTCTCCTTCACAAGAAATAACTTCAAATTTCTAAAGATTAACTATCAAGATTTTGTATGGCAGTATTTTGAATCTTAAATATATTCTTCATTCTTACATGATATTAAGTCGTAAAAGATAAAATGTTTAGAGACATAGATATGTGAGTTTTAATACTCCTAAAAATAATTTTGACTCCTAAAGTAGCCAAAAAATTATAACTTTATGCTATTACAAATAATCTATAATTTTTCTGTTTAAAACAACACAGAACAGCAATTATAAAACAGCTGTTGAAGCATCAAATCACTACTGTGCTTGTTGTTAAAACAAACAGTTTGAGATCCCTGAGAGTTCTTAAGAACTACTCCAGCACATAGATTTATAAACAAAAAATGGCATATTGCATAATGGCACCTGTTAAAGCAGAAAGGAGAGAAAACAGTATTCAAGATAGGGCTTAAATATATAGCCTTCAGCCTTGCAAGAGAACAACATTTTATTTTTATCAGAAGGACTCGGTGATGCCATCACTGATTGTAAACTGAAGTTCTCATAGTTGCATGAAAGATAGCATGAGTATAAAGGAAGTTGTAAAAATAGACCAGAGAGTTAAAAAGGGTGTCCTTGTTAACATTTCTTTCAATGAATGAACTCCAAAAACAGGTCTCGAGTACAGAGAATGAACTGCCAAGGATACAGATATGGTCTACCATCTATGCTGCACATGGCCCTACAACTGAAGTTCTAAGCCAACAAATGGATGTATGTAGCCAAGTGAAACCCTTAAGTACCTCACAAGAAGACTGTACTAGGTAAGATTTTTGAATGGATGGTAAACTCACCAGTTTGCTGCATGATTTTAATTACTTTTTTTCCCATTAGAAGTCTAAGAGACTTGAAGATGAAGTGAGAAAACTGAATGGATAACTATTAATTTTACAACAGAGAAGCAAATCAGAAGCTCAGAGTCATTATTTTCTACAATGAAGGAGACTGATTGCCATTTCCTCCCCAGTGAAGCTCCGTGTTTAGAGGAGGTGCAATTCATAGGCATGTCCTACCCCACAAGAGTTCAAACTTTGAAAACCCATTGTATTCTTTGCCTACAGTGTACTGAAAGATAAGTGGGAAAAAAAAACATGAAGTCATCTTAATACAGTTGCGCTATAATCCCATAAGTATTGAGCTGATGAGGCCAAAATCTTTTGCCTTCCAACTAATAACACGCATCAAGGACAGTCATGTATTGGAGAATGTTTCATTAGCATGGGCTCAGGTGACAAGCAGAGATTGCCTGATAACACAAATTATTTCCAATCTCATGCAAATTAGAAATGTATTTATTGTACAATAGGAGGTATGAATAAATGAACCCCTCTACACATAGTTACTGGTTCTATTCACCCGTCCTGTTTCAATAATCCAATCTCATCTATGGCTTTCATTAGTCCATTTGTCCTACGCCCTTCACGTATTTGCGGTGTTCCTTTCATAGTTCTATATCAATTTCAAAAAATCACCTTCAATCTCAAAAACCTTCCTTCTCCTGTCTTCAGATATGGACCCTTTTTTGTACAGCCATCAAGCCAGAAAGCAGCAATTTAAGCCGAATTCCAGGGAAAAGAGGCAATGGCTTGCTCTAGGAAAGGCTTAAAGGGAGTGGTGCATTCCACAGGCAAGTACGGGCATATCGGCATACGGTGAACTCAAGCCACAGTACTGCCTGTTTACAAGAAAATGCCAAGGCAGACACTGCGCTATCAAAAAAAGTATTTTATTGTTTTTTCCTCAACTTTTCCTTATTTCTCATAAACAGCAAGCACCCGCTAAAGCTACCATTTCCACGGCATTAGCTAGAATAAAGCACACAACTTCCTAGTCTTCCACTCCAAGACAATCCTGACCACCAAATTTATACCACTTTCGAGCTCAAGAGTTGCCCACCAGACCCTCCCTTAGTCCTGATTCAGAAAAACCCTTTTTTTAAGGCAACAGAGATCCTTTCCTTTTAGGAAACTCCAGCCACGCATCTTTAGCGAGCGGTTCACAAACCTGAGGGTACCGTGCCCACAGCCGGAGCTAGGCGGGAGCAGACAAAAGCTCTGTGCTGCCCTTTATCGGAGCACGGGCCCGGGCCCGGCGCAGGCAGCTCCGCCGTGCCCAGCCGGCCCCGCCGCAGCCCGCCCGCCCTGCGGCGGTAGCGGCTGCGCGCATGCTCCCTGCACCGCCGCGCGCAGTTCCGGGTCACGGCGGCCATGGAGGCCGGGCAGGGACCCGGCCCCGGCGGCGACGCGGCCGAGGTAACTGCGCTGGTTCGGCGTCGCTGCCGCGGGGAAACCTGGCGGGGCTGGGGGCGGCGAGGCGGGGAGCGAGGCGGCGGGCTCGGGCCGGGGAAAGGGGATTCCTGACAGCCGCTCGGCCGCTCCTGCCCTGAGCTCCCCGCGGGACCAGTGCCCTTGAGGCCTCTCCGGGGCCGGGCGGGGGGTCCTGGCAGGAGCTAAGGAGTTGTTCACGTCTGACCGTGAGCCGACGATGTGCTCTGTACCGGTGGCATCCTGGCCTGTATCAGGAATATCGAGGCCTGCAGGAGCAGGGAAGTCACCATCCACCCGTACTTGGCACTGGTCAGGCCACACCTCAAGTATTGCGTTCAGATTTGGGCTCCTCAGTTCATGAAGGGCACTGAAGTGCTGGAGCATGTCCAGAGAAGGGCAACGGAGCTCTTGAGGCGTCTGTACAAATCTTATGAGGAGTGGCTGTGGGAGCTGGGGTTGTTCATCCTGGAGAAAAGGAGGCTCAGGAATGCCTTATCACCGTCTACAACTGTGATAGTAACTGAAAGGGGGTTGTTAGCAGGTAGGGATCGGCCTTTTCTCCCAGGCAACAAGCGATAGAGCAAGAGAGCATAGTATTAAACTGCACCAGGGGAGGTGTAGATTAGACATTAGACGAAATTTCTTCACAGGAAGGGTCATTAGATATTGGAATGGACTGCTAAGAGAGTTTGGAGTCACCTCCCTAGCGGTGTTTAAAGAACGACTGAACATGGCACTTGGTGCCACTGTCCGGATGACAAAGTGGTGTTCAGTCCTGGATGACCTCAGAAGTCTTTTCCAACCCAATTGACTCTCTGATTCTCTGTTCCCCTAGTGCCGATAGCCTTCTCACGGCTGTGCTTCTCCTGCCCGTGTCTGGCAGCGTGCCCGGCGGCACAGCTCTCACGGTGGGACAGGCTCAGCACCTCTGCACAAACCTCACACGCTGGTGAAACAGCTGGTCAGCTCTCGCTGAATTATATCTGTGTGAACCAGCAACACACCCTGTTGTCTTCGAAACCCTGAGAAATACTTTAAAAAGGCACTTAATGATCTGTCAGATGTCAGCTATTTGGAAGGCTGGTTGGAGGGACCAAAGCAGGCTTTTCTGAAGTAGCAGGGCTGAGATGAGTTTGGATCTGACCATCTACAAAGTATTTCCTGCTCTTTCACGTAATTTTTAAAAGCATTGGAATTTTTTAATGGTATATTTCATATGACATTTATGGACAAGAGACACTGGTTTCTTAAGTATAGCTGGGTGAAAGTATAGAAACTACAAGATGTGAAAGTTAGACGTTACGTTTTTTGATTTTGAAAAATGGCCTCAAACTGTTCTTTTGTCCATTCTTTTCTAATCTATTTCCCTGATGAAAGAGGGAAGTACCTAAGCCTTATGTTCCGACAGAGGAGGAAAGAAGACTACTCAAGGAATGTGCTGAAGAGAGTTTCACATATAGAGGTAAGTTAACTTTGCTGCTAAACGTGGTTGCTTTCCTTCTGCCCTTAGCTTTTTCTGTTACCTGAGGCATTACAGAGGGCCTGGGTCAATATAGCACAACAGTGCATTGACAAGCTTCACATGTACTAAAATTGTGTCCCAGCAAATGCTGATCCATGTAGTATTTACTAAGAGTTTGCAGCAATTTTGTAAAAGGTGTGACATAATTTCTAAGTTTTGTGCCTTACAAAAAGATCTCTTCATATTTTAAGTTAATGTGCTTACTGAAAGTCTGTAGATAGATATAATTAATGACTCTCATTTATATTACTGGATTTTCTTTTTTGTGTTATTTCTGCATTTTTATTTTCAATTTTTATTGTTATCTTTAACAAGCAAGAATAAAATAGTTGGATTTATAACTATTGCTTTTCATCTTTATAGAGACCTGTGAAGTGAACAGTGTATAAGTAGTCACTACTCAACTTTAAGAGAAAACTGCTGAGTGTGTCCATGTTTTCTGTTACCCTAAGGTTCAAGGCATGCTTGATTTTTGTACACCTGGTCATGAGGTTTGAACAAGCCTTCTGCTGTGATTGTTAACTGCTGTTTTATCACACACTACTAGGTTACTCCTGATGCTGGTAGGTGGCTTGGCAAAAACCAGGACAGATGAAGAATTTAGCAGCAGACTTTCTAATTTTAGCACACTGGGGCTCTGATTTCTCATGGAAGCCAGTACTTTCAGGAATAGCTCCTAAGGCATTGTGATTTTGAATTAACGATTCAAAATTCTGTTTTGTCTTTCTCCATTGGTTTCGCATTCTCCTCGCCCGCTTTTACACAAATACTTGGAAGTCTTCAGCATATTTGCTAAAATGTAGCCATTTTCTATATAGTTTTATAAATTAAAGAGGCAGGTCCATTAGTGCTACAATGATGATTGGTTATGGTTTATTGATAATCTCTCTTCTGGAAAACAAAGAGGAGAGAGAGTTGTTTGTTCCTGAGCTGTTCTGCTGCTTGGCAATGTAGTTCATTGCCCTATGCATCTTTATATAGTCACTGAAGAAACAACATGTAGGAATTACTTGAAAGCTCTAAGTTAGTTTCTTGAGTTGTTTCTGTTTAGGGAGCTACAACAGTGACAGACTTTTTTTTCCAGGAGTTGAGTACTGCGCTATTATCTCACTGGGAGGGCCTAAAGTCCATCATTGTTTTCTAGGTCTCCCATCTTTGTTTCCCTGTTCAGCATACACATACTAGACTGTTGTATTCACTGTATTAAATACATATTGTTTGAACTCCCCTTTCCAACAGGCTGCTTGTGTGACTGCCCTGAACTCCTCACTTTGTATTGTGTCAGCTTTTGGTATTCACTGAAGTTACTATAAATCTGTGTATTTTCAGTTTGTTTATTCGAATTTCAAGCTGTAGCAAATTTTACTCATTCTTACAAACCATCTGGGTTTTGACGTAGTTTCCCTTAACAGTTTCTGCCACTAGTCATTTCACAATTCAGTTTAATATATGCTTTACTGGAGTGACTAATTTGTAATCACATTATTGTATAAATTCTTACGCTCTTAAAAATTCACACTACAGCCTTCAACTTTATCCTTCACACTTCTGGTCTTGCTAACAAAATCAAATCATGCTGATCCAACATTTTTCCAATGAAACAATTTTGACTTGGGTACATTATATTACCATCCTTATGTTCTGTTGATATATCAACCTTCCATTATTTTCTCTAGATGTATTTTGTTCCTGAAGCAGAAAAAGTACTCTTTGCCCATAGCATTGATGTTTTCTGATTTATTAAGGTTGTTTTGTTTTTTCTTCCTACAGTTGAATAATTCATATTAATTTTTAGGAATTAATCCAATTTTCATTTAGCTGAATTTCATTCATTATTTTATATATATATATATATTTTTATATATATTTTTTTTTATTATTTTTAGTTACCATTTCAGGTCACTTATATGCTCACATACAAATGTAGCCTGGTTTTGGTATCTGGAGTGTTTTATGTTAGGTCTATAAATCATTTCAAACTTCTAATGGTTAGACAGAAATCCTCTGTAATAATTTTTGAATGTATTTCTCTTTACACACCCTCCCTTCCCTTGTTTTGTTGGGGTTTTTTTGTTGGTTTTTTGTTTTGTTTTGTCATTTCTTTTTGAAAACAAAACAGGTTTTGTTTTGTTTTTCTTTTACAATTTAATTTAAAATCTGCTGTCATTTTATATCTCAGAAAATCTAGAATGGTAAATTTTGGAAAATCTAGGTCTGGAATCTCTAAAAGCATCAGGTTTTTAATGTCTAGTAGGTTGGTAGGTTTTATTCTCTATTCTGAAGTTTTGCTGTAATCTTACTTTGAACCAAGGAGCCAGTATTTCTTCTTAAATGTGACGTCCAGTTGCATTTACCCTGAGATGCTGGTTGGACTCCTTACCTAGTTTCAACCTGTCAGAATTTGTGAGGGAATTAGCTGTTAATTTGCAAAGTATTCTTTAATACTTTGCTTTCCAATAATATAATTTGTCTTCAAATATGAACTTAATTAGCAAATAGTGTGCATCAAAATACTTCAGCCATCTAGTGCTGTTGGAAAAATTCTCTCCTGGAAGTCATTCAGCCTTTTTGTAATAACTACATTTTTATCCTTGCATGAAATTAAATTTCATTATGGCACATCTAAATCTTTAATGTAAATAACTTTAGACTTCTGTCGTGTTTGTTACTTCATTTTCCCTGTATCTTGTGCAGGGGTGGTGGTCTTTATGAATAGTCGCACCATAATCTTATATAATTATCATTGCTTGAAAGAACCATTAATTTTGTTTTTTGCAATCTCCAAATGCTTCTTGCCACATAAAGTCTTTCAATATAATGAAAATAGACATAAATTGTTAGGCTGGTTGTTGTAGGCAGCGATGGCCTTCCAGAATGTTGTTTTCTCTGCATTCCTGACCCTAAGCAGGTTGTATAATGTGATTGGTAAGAAGAAAAAGCTGCCCTGTTTTTTAATTTGCTGGTGAATAAAACATTGCCTAATTTTAATCAATCTGATTTATAGCTCTGTAAGAGTTAAACTTTTTCCAAAGTTCTTACATTAAAACATCAGAGTTTGATTATCAACAATTTTTAGAGGCACTAGCCTTTGTACAACTTCCTCCTGTTAGGACAAATTGTGTATGCCTCTCTAGCTTAAAGTTCTGTACCTTGATGCTGTAGGAGTTGTAGCTAGACCTGGAGTCTAGTCTAAAGAGCTGTATTCCATCTGACACTGGCTTTTGTATTTTAGGAAGCATGAAATATAATGCAGGCAGGGTGACTCATTAACTAGTACCACATAATTTGTAGTATGTCTTAAAAACTGGAATTGACAATGTTTGATAATATATATACAGTTTGTCAATTTTATATATATCTTTATATTATACAAATTAACTTAAGAGCACTCTTATTTTATTGCATATTTGTTAAATGTAGTTGAAAATATTGAAATTTGGATTTTAAACCGCTTTTTTTCTTCTTCACAGCTTTTCCTTTGGCTGCAGTGAGCATGCTTGGTACTAGTTTCTTAATTAGAAAAGGTAAAGTGTAAAACTACTTCTGTTTCATTTCAATTTGCTCAGTTGAGTTCTGCTGTTAGGAAAGTTATTATGATAATATCATGTCCAATCTACTTGTAACTAAAAGAAGTTCAAACTGCAGCTACATGATTTGGAGTTTCTCAATATAAAGAAGGAGCTGAATTTAAAATCAAGTTCATGTGTGTTTTATGTTGTGTAAAAAGTGCAATATGTCACTGATTATAGAACAAATAACCCTGTGATTAAATATGATTAAGGAGATAATTCCTAGATTTTTTAAATTTCACGGGAAATTCAGATATTAGGAATTTTTTAAGCTTTCTTTAATGTGAAGTGTAAAAGAGTAACTTACTTGTACAAACATAACTACAGTTGAGGTTTTTCAACTTAATTCTTAATAACTGATTACATATATTTTATGTAATATATCTTAATGTCTGATTTCATCCTCATTTTCAGGTGTTCTAAGAGATAGCTCAAGACTTGGCTCTTTTATTAAAGTTGCATGTAAGTAAAAGCTATGTATAAATTCAGCTTGTATTCACGGGGTATGTTCTTTTTCTGAACTTTTTCCTAATGCCCACTGTGACCAATGGTTTTAAACTAAAACAGGAGAGATTTAGATTAAATGTTAGAAAGAAATCCTTTACTGAGGGTGGTGAGGCACTGGACAGGTTGCCCAGAGCAGTTGTGGATACCTCATTCCTCCTTCCAAGGCCAGGTTGGATGAGGCCCTGAGCAACCAGGTTTAGTGCAGGGTGTCCCTCCTCATGGCAGCAGGGTTTGAACTAGATAATCTTTAAGGTCCCTTTGCAAATCAAGCCATTTTATGATTCAGTGATTTATTCACTGTCTGAATTTGTACTGCATATTTTGGACAACTTTTGTTTTGTTTATGAGGTTTGTATAAAATTGCTTGATAAATGTAACATAATCATTTAAGATAAAAACATTGTAAATAGAAACTGTGCAACCCTACTTTAAATTACATTGCCAGAATACACCCACCCCTCCCTTCCTAATTTGAAGGTCTTTATTCATGTATCTCACGTGTCCCATTCAGGCTATTTTAATTACTTTTTTTTTTTTTCCTGGACATTATGTATGTACAATTGTAGGAAAAAACCAATTTCATGTGAATGATTTTTGGATTAAGTATAATCAAAAATAAATTATTAACTTAATAAATTAACCTTTTCAATGTAATACAGGACAGTAAAACAGGAAGTTGCCATCTTGCCAATCTGTGCAGATACAGCCAGTTTACTTCAGTGGGAAGAGGGTAAACCCCATGATTTGTGGTCAAGGAAGTGTTGTTTAAGCAGATAAATGAATGTGAGAGACTAGGGCTTCAGTTGTTTATGATAAATTGTGGTTACTTTCTTTGAACACCAAACAATGGTATAACACAAACATTTTTAATAAATAATAGAACTGCTATTTCCTCAGTCACTCCTACACATAAGGGCCACATTCTTCTTATTTAATAGAACTAATTTATTGAAATCAGGGGAAGAATAAGGTGCAGCTGGGCTGGCTAGGGTGTTCTGCCTGCAGGAAAACTATACTTTTCTCAGTGGTTTTCTAGGTACTCTTGACAATTTACTGAACCTTCTAGTTAGTCATGGCTGATTCACTACATTGACAGCATCCCCTTCAACACAGCAGAGAGCTACTAATCCTCTCTCTGTCTTTGACAAAGAAGGGGAAGATTCCTGTGCCTGTACTTTAGATTAGTCTGCAATAGGACCTGGTCATGTCTAATCAGCTTCTCTAAGATCTTGTCACAGTTAATGTAGAAGCAAAGAACAATACCTAATTTATTGTGCTAAGTTCAAAAATGTGGATTATCTGGCTCTTAGTTCTGTAATAAATAATCCAAATACTTTGACCAATGATTACTTTGAGTGAAATGTCTTCCAGAGAGATACTCCCCCTTTTCTTTACTAGAAGGCCTCAAGGAAAGGAGACTTTCTCTTTGTAATTTGTGTGAAAGAGTAATCAGCTTTTCTGTTAAGCTTTATTTTGCTAAATATTTAGTTTGAATTCTTCTTAGGCCAGTCTAAGGGCTTGTAATTTTTCTCTTTGCACATATTTATTGTATATGAGGTGTTTGATTTTTTTTTTTTACCTGCTTAACAACTAAACCGTTACATTCCTCATTTGTAAACTTCATTCATAGTTGTGGCTGTTCTTCTCTATTCCCATGGAAAAGGATTTTTACCCTTCTTTAGAAAACAGGACATTAGAACAGGAATCACAATTTCAGTACAGCAGGCTAGGGTAAAATCCCCTACGTATTGATTCCCAGGCAATGTAATCTAGAGATTACATTGAGAATTGCAGAGGATTAACATTACTGATAATTAACTCTTTCCTGACTTGAGATTCTTTATATTTAGTAAATACTCATTGCACATGAAAAAAGGGTCCAGTAATTTTCTCCCACAAAGTCAACAAGAAAACAACTGTTAACTCCCACTGAATCCTTCATACACCACTGGCCCACTCATAAAACTTGGAGCCAGTTAATGGAAATTTTAAGTTTTAGGACCAGAAAGAGCTATCTTGGTAATTTATTCTTATGTCCTTTGCAGCAGATGGAAGTAGCTCATGCACTAAATTCAAGCTGTTTGCTTAGTGATTACAAGGGTTCAGCTAGTTCAGTTTTTTGCCCTCTGGCAGCCAAATCACGGAATTCTTTACAGAAGATACTGAGCCTAAGTTGATTTAGACCTCTCTTCATACTAGTAAAGCCTTTTCAGGATCTGACTGTTCTGATGGATTAAATTAGCAGAATTTACTGCCTGTATTTATTTTTGATTGGTTTATCTTTGATAGTTCATTGTGATTTCTAGATCTTGGGAAAAAACAATGCAATTATTTTTTCTTTTTTTTTTTTGTCACCTTTCATTCACCAAGTACTAGCTGAAATCATCTGATGCTTACACCATGTCTAAATCATTACTTTATGTATCTGTTCAGCTGTTGCATTTGGTTTTAGTACCCTTTGTCTGCAGAAGAAGCAGAGATGATTACTGTGTGGTTTTGGTTTAGATCTGGTTTTCTTTCTTTTATTCAAGAAACTACATGATCTATTTGAAATTATTATTTTAAAACAATGTTGAATATTATAGTACAGCATGTAAACGCATCTCTTTTTCTTTTTAAAAAGTTGCTGGAATGTGTGGATACCTGGCTGGAAAGATATCCTACTTGCCAATCTGTAGCGAGAAATTTAAGAAACTGAAGGATTCCCCAATAGGAGATGTTCTACGACAAGCTCAGAGACATAGTTCACCTAAGTAAGAATTTAAGTATCTTTTAAATTTAAAACATATTCTGAATAGGGTATTTTAAACACTAACAGGTCAATAGTACTTCTGCAGCTTTCCAACACCTTCAGAGCTGCACCTTCCCTCATTCCCTATTACCTCAAATTTACCACTTTCAGGAATCTGTATTCGTATCAGTTGGCAAGCTATAAAATACATATTTTGAGCGCTTTACATACAACTGATCAGTTTGAGAAGTAGAAAAATAAATATTTTACTTAGCAAACTGTATCCCTTGTAAAATTAAGAATGTTTCCCATTAAATTTACTTACAGCACAAGTTGTTGTTCCAGTTTAGAAGTAAACTATATTAACTTAAATAAAATAGTGTTACATTCTGGAAGTCTTTCCCATAGTTTGATTGAAGTAGGAAAAGGGTGGAAATGATTTCAGTGTTTATCAAAGGAAAGAGCTCAGTAAACAATATCAGTGCAGGAAGAAGCACGGTGGTCAAACTAAGTGCTGTTTGTTTAAATCCTTTACATCTGTAACAGCATTATGCTGTACATATGAGAAACTCATCAGGTTCTTAAAACTATTTCCTGTTTTCTTCCAGAATGCTTTCTACTTCAACTGGTTTTTAATGCAAGCTGCTTTCAGAATATGTCACTTAAACCCTTGATTCAAAACTGGGAGAATAGTGTTTGGATAGTGAGTAGTAGTCCTCCTGTGTATGTGCTGAGATTTGTTAAATGTTTATAAAGGATTTGCTTAAATTGTTAATTACACTATAAATTCAAATTTATGAGAGTTTTTATTCTGTCTGCAAGATTTACATTTATTCTGAAATGTTTATGGTTTTATGACATCAAACAATTTCAGGCATTACCACTTCATACACTTGCTGTATAGAATCAACTGAATTGGAGTTGGACTTGTCCCTTCACCCCCCTCCAGTTTCTAATATGAAATTGTCATGCTCATTAATTGTGTTTATATGGGAACTTGTTTAAGTATCATCATCTGCCACACCAATAAATTCCTTCAACCGTTAATGGCCCATTTGTATCTGTAAAGTTTTATTTCCTAAGTGATAAATTCCTTTTCCTTGGTTGAATAAATAATTTGAATTCATTTCAATTGCATTATTATCCATACATGCTATGCTTTTAACCCAGCAACAGAAATCATTATACTTTCCTGGGCATTGTATGTCTGCTAATTAATGCATTTTGGTAATTTGATTTGCAGTTAAAAACTCATAGGGAGCTAAAAGATTCGTTAGTTTTTTAAAAATGTGTTTGCATATATTTTGAAAACATAATTGAGTCAATAAAATGGCTTTTTTCTGTATGTTTATTATGAAAATTAAATAAAGAGTAATTGCAAATGTTTTTAATAGGAAATTAAAAGTACAGCTAAGCAGAAATTAAAAGTAAAAACTTAATAAAATATTCTAGAGATGTTCTAATGGCACAAAGTGGTGGCATTCCTGATGGAGGGACATGTTGTGTAGTGGCTTGCAAGGCCACTCTAAGAATACAGTGAATACTTTAAAATATCTGGCACCAATTTCAAGATTATTCTTTATATGATATTACCTTTCTCTCTTAAGAGAAAATTCATTAATATTTTTGCAGAATTCAGCAACTTGCTTAATTTTCATAACTTAATTTTCCCCAGATAGCTGTTTGTTCTCCTTCTGCTGTTCAGTCCTGATCAATTACAGCAGCTTTTAATGATGAAGGGTTTTAAATACCAAATTATTCCTAAAAGGCTTTTAAAAATAACTGTAGCTCATACTACCTACTAGTTACATGGGCACACCGTGTACTATTTGTGTCTGATGTGGGGTGTTTTTGTCTTAAGATTCCTTGGGAAAAAGGATTATAACTTCAGTTATTGTAAAGTGCAATATGTTTTGTCTCTTTTCCCTCCTATTCTGGAGATATGAGCTTAGATTCTGTGAGGAAGGGAAGAATGCTGGGGAAGAGACTATAGAAATTTTTGCAAGGTAAAGAAAACACCTAAAACATCCTCAAAATTTTTTAAGATGATGATTCAGTTGGAAACTAAACTATTTAAAATGAAAGAACATTTTCTTGAATTGCAAGTATTGTTACTCTTATAGTTCCATTTTTAACTTCAGTATTTTCATATTTAATATTTAGTTCTATTCTTTTCCAGCCGTTCCAGTCGTAAATCTGAATTTTCAGACGCACCTTCTCAGTCATTTGAGTCATCTTCTCCAAGAGCTGGATTCCCACCTTCTTCTAGCTATTCAGATGATTACAGCTCAACAGATAGAGCCCTCTCAAGTTATGAACCCATACCATTCAGTGCTTCTCTGAATGAATCTTCACCTACAGGAATTACTGATTACACCATTCAAGGTAAGTCTTGATATTTAACAGTTTGTACTGCAAAGACTTTTGCCTTTCTTTTAGATACCACTCTTACTAAACTATGTATTCTCACCTTATACAAACACATATGGCACAATATAGTGGTTTTGAATGAAAGAGCTGAAAAAATACAAGAATTGTTTTTACACAGAAGATGAATATAGATTTTGTGTTCTAACTGTAGACTAGATTCAGGGTTTTCTAGCTGAAAATCACTTTAATTGCAAGTAAAGATCTTGAATTAACTTGCAAGGTGCAATCTGCTGTGGAATCTGCAAAAAACTCAGTCAGACAGAAAGTTCTTTTTGACTGAAAGAAGGGGGAATATGCCATCACTTCACTGTACTGAATAAACCACAGCCTACCAATTGCCTGCTGGCCCTTCCAAGGTGATTGCAGTTCCACCCTCCCTGGAGCTGTAACTGGATACTGCTGTAACTCAGTGACATTAAACTTCTTAAAATTTTTTTTCACAACAATGTAACAGACATTTATGTCTCCCGGGAACAGAATGGATATTGTGTTCTATCCACCAACGGTCTGATTTTCTCACAGAGAACTAAAATGGTTTTCAAGTACCGTGCAGCTGTTCCCCTCCTTCCAGTATGAACTGTTCTCAGTTATTGCAGGGGAAACACAGGATTCTGAATTCATGTATCTCTGGTACACAAAGGAGGAAGTTGCTATCAAATACAGGGTTTTGTACTTCGAATTAGTTTGGATTTTTTCAACTTACGAAAGATGTTTTGTTTCACTAAAAAAGCCCTTTCATGCAACTTGGTTATAATTACATGAAAGTATCAGATATAAACGTGTCAAGAAAATTATTATGGCATTTTATCAAAATTATCAGTAGCTGGTAAAACCTTTATTATTCAACCAAGATTCTGCATTATAAATATAGATAAAATGATTAAATGTTTATCAGGCATCATATGATAGATATTGTCCTAATTATTTGAAAGCAAAATTTAAAAGCCTTAATGCAAACCCTTGAGCTTCACTTAGATTTCTCTTCAGAAATCATATCTATCTCAAATGTATAATTATTGTAAATTTTAGATAAAGTGACCATCAAGTACCATCAAGTACCACATGGTAGAATTTCTTATGGTAACATGAAGAAAATTAATTAACAGCCAGTGTTTCAAAGCAGTTTGACGAAATTAAAAGGATAAAAGCAACGTATTATTTGAAGACCATATACATTCACTGTTGTACTTAGAATTGCAGTTGTCATGCTTCTTTTAATTTGGGATTGAACAGTAGTTGACTGGTATTCTAGAACATGTTGAAGCCAAATTTTGGTGTGTTATGTCACATTTAGTATTTTTCTCTTTGTTTTGCTTTCAGAACCTGCTCCAGTTCCAGAAGAAACTCGTAAAAAAAAAGGCATCACATATGAGGAATTAAGGAATAAACACAGACAGACATATGAAGTAATGCAACCACCAAAGGCAGAAACTCCAAGCAAGTTTTCACAGGAAAAACAAGCTAAGGAAGGTAATATACCGATTTACAGAAATACTTGTGAAATTCAGATATTTGCCATAATGTTAAAAATGGTTGCAAACACAAAGCTTAATTCTGCATACCTTTTAAGCAATTTCTAATTCGAGTATCTGCAGGTATCCCATATGTGATACATACGGTCTGTATTTTCCTGTTTCAGATTAATTATTTTTTTTAACATTTTAATCATCCAATAGAAAACTGTAACTCCTTTTCTCTAACCATATTGATTGGTGCCAGACTGAAAAGCTCATAAGTTTTGCTTCATTGAGTATATTGAGCAACCTCTTTCAACAAAGAATTCTCTGAGCTCAGAGCTATACCAAAGAGCTATGGGAGGGGGGAGTGTGTTTGAGATAGCATTGTTCTCTCAAAATAGAGCACATGGTTGATGGTTTAAAGGGGAGGGTATTTATTTTTATGAATAGTTTCATGTGGAATTAGTGGATTTCTATAGAGGCATTGTTTGTAGAGGTTAATTTTCTACATTAAAACCCAGAGGAAGGAAACGGTATTTGGCAGCAATATTGAGATTTGTTTTCACAATGAAAAAGAAAACTTTACAGAGCAAAATAAGAATGCAATATCCTGAAGAGCAAGATGCCATGCAGACAACTTTTTGACTCAAATCAATTTTTTGAAAAGGAGACACAGAAGCAATTAATAATTGCTTGCTGTAGAACTTCTTATATTTAATGTGGCATCTGTAAAAACAATTGTAGCAAGAGGAATATTTTACCATTTAACACACTGATGGACAAGTCACCTTGGGTGAATTGTTTGGGTTTGTGTGCACTGCCCAGTCTTGTCGGCCATGTTGCAACAAGACTTTTAGGAAGTTAGCTTCCTAAACTTGTCTCCTATTAGGCTTAATGAGTGGTAATAAGTATAGAAGAGTGTATTAAAGCAAAACGTTCTGAAGCAGTGACACTAAGCTTTGGAACAGAGTTGCTTAAGAGTGTCAGTCTCTTTGATGCTTGTGAATTACTTTCTGCAGATCATCTGTCTTTGGACAGATCTTCAGTCTTGAAAGAAAAATTAAACAATTTTTGTGTAGTGATTTTTTTCTAGTATTTCAAGGATAAAATGCTTTCTCTTATGTGACTGTGCCAAATGAAACATGAAAAAATTATTGAAGCTGTGGTTTCAGATTGCTTTTAAATTCCATTGGCTGACACTTCACGGATTTACAGTGTTTCTTTTTCAAGATACTTCTCCACAAATAGAAAGCCTAGAAATGTCACTTGCGAACGGTGCATTAAGCAGCTTTCTGAAAACCTTGCCATACTCCGTGGCAAATATGGATGTGAAATGAGAATGTGCATTTCTTACTTTATTTTTAGTTACTTGAGGTATATAAAAGACCTCTATAAAATGTTGATCAAATATTGCATTATTTTCCTTATATTTCCTTATATTTCTGTGTTCCATTTGAAGGCTGTACTTTGGCTTTGAGAATAAAACTGAGTGGTGCGTGAGATTTGTAAATAGACTTTCTAAAGTATCTCTTCACATTTTTAGGGAAAAAGAGTAAGGAGTGAATTCAAAAATTTAGGAATGGTTTACACATGCGAGTACATTTAAATCTGCAGTTCAGGGATTACACTGATGTTGTGGGCTAAGATCCGATTTAGCTCCATGTCCAGTGTCAAACTGGACATGTTACTTGCTATGTGCTGGTTCATGCTTTCTGAGTAACTACCCCTTGGTTCATCCTCTTATCACTGGGTCCCTAGCATATAGGAGACAGTGATTTCTGCCCTCCCTTGCAAAGACAGAAGGGAAACCAAACCATGTTTGAACAAGCTTTAAGCAATCCCGAACTTCCATCTGCCATTGCCCTCTCCCTTCCCTGCAGCGGCACAAATGCGTGCATCTGCATAGTGATCTAGACTGGCCCATTTTCCAGGGAATGAGTGCAGCCTGTTCAGCTGCCATGGATAATAGAAATGGAGATCAAATCGTACTTTGAGAGAGCTTCTCATTGTGTCTCGCTGCAATATCTCCAAAGAGATTTGTCAGGGCATTATGCTCAGTTTGCTGGTAGCTCACAGAAACAAGGACCAGGCATTTTGCTCTATTCCACTTGTTCTGCTGCATAGTTAATAATAAACAGTGAGCTTAATAATTAACTTGCAAGTGGATTTATAAAGGGGTGCCTGATTAGTGTCAGCATTCCTACTGGATCAAATGGAGCCATCCCTAACCTTTTCAGTCATGGCAATCAATTACAGAGGACTTTGCAACTCACTTTCAAGAGAGCCTGTTTTCACTTTCTGGTTGTTGTTCAGTTGCAGTGGCACACTTCTGAACAAAGCCGTTAGACCACTACCCTGTTTTTTTTTCTCTGACTCAATCCTATGCTAAAGGAAGCTGCCAAATAATAATGGCTGAGTAGTTTCCTAGTAGGGATTACTGGTTTCTGTTTGTTTGTCTTTGAATGTGTTTTTAACTATCCCAAATCCATCCAACTGTGCATGTAACCAGATTATGTAGCCTCATTATTTATTGTAACATTCCTTGCCTGTTTCCTCCAATTGTCTTTGTTTCATCCACACTTTATATTTGTTTCAAAGTAATTACAAATTCTGTAGAGCAGGAATTAGCACAGTAGGCCTCCTGATTGAATATTAATTCATTAAGGTGAAGTGATTAGTAAACTCTTCTCCCCATTTATTCAAAAGTAGCTTTAATTACATGTCTGTTGTGCTGTGACTGACTCTCTCCCCACATACCACTTCAGATGACAGTGCACTTCGTTATACTTCTTGTCACCATCTATGATAAACTTCAGCAGTTAAACTATCACATGACTACTTTTGTTTTTTCTTTTGTTTTCTTTAGTTAAAGTAAATAAATATGGAGATACCTGGGATGAGTAAGAATCAGATGAAGAACTGAAGAAAATTACCTCCTCTCAGCTAACTTGAACTTCAAATAGATTAGTCATGAGTATCAGCACCTTTGGTGTGCTGCGCCAGACACAACTATTAATAAATGAGGAGAAAATCCTGACTTGCCAGAAGATTAAAAAATGTATTTATGCTTAATTTTTTTTAATTTTGCATAAATGAAAAACAAGGCTATTATCAGGTGTCATGACTATAAACCATTTATGCTGTTGTTTAAGAATGAGAAGGGGAACTGGTAATATGAACATATAGCATAAGGTAAAAATACATGTAAATAAATGCAATCCCGTGTGTCGAGAAGGGAAGAATATCAGAATCTTCTCAAATTTTCAAGACTTGCATTAAAAGTTACCTCTAGAACTCAACCTCTCACTTCTTTTGTCTGAAAGTGATATGCTGGGAATTTGAAATTGTTGTTATACTTGGTTTGTAATGTCAGAAATACTACTAAACTGTTGAGGGGAAAAGGGTTGAAGAGCTAAACCAGATACTGAAGTAGCCATAACTTTTTCAAAACTGTTTCATGGTGCCAGTTGTATTTTCAGACTGATTCTCTGACTTGCCCTCAACAGGTTTCTACAGACAGTCATTTATGAAAAAAATAATTGCATGAAACTGCAGGTATTGAAAATAGCTACATTTAAGTGCAGAAGGCAAAACCTGACAAACTTTGGTAAAACCTTGAATGATATATTGACTGTTAATGTTAGGCTCTGCATATTTGACCTTATTTCTCAATTTTTGAAAGTCATTACAAAACAGCTGTGTGTATGGAGAAAAGATGCCAATCAATGTAATATTTTGTTACTGTTATCTCTAAGAGAAGAGCTACATTGGTAAAACTGAAGAGTATTTCCTGGTGTTTACATCACCTGTTCTGTGTCTGCAAATGTTGCCTTCACTCAGGGATTTTCATGTTCTCGCCTGTGCAGTTTTGTCTCCCAGCATTGTGTTTCTTTGGGGGTTTGGGCTATAAGGGACCAAAATAACCATTATTAAGTTGATAGCAGAAAAGCATTCCTGACATCCTTGTTGGAGCTGAAAAACAACATGCCTACCAAGTCGAAAATTCTCAAAGACCTTATTGATTTAGTGGACTTGCAGCAAAACAGCATAAGTAAGAAGATAATTGGGGGGGTTGTACAGAGCAAATGGCTGAAATGAGGAGGAAAAAGTGGGAAAAGAGAAGGATGCTTAAAGAGCCAAATACTACTTTAAACAGGAAGATTGCTTTCAGAAAAGCTGATCTAAAACAATCAGTGTGCTAATTGGATAATCTTGAAGTTGTATCAGAAATTTACCTTCTAGAGAATGCTTCTCATGGCTGTGATGAGTGAACTCTGAAAATACAGTCTGCCAGAATTGTATTGCTGTGGTTTTCAGTGTGCTATTCCAAAGCTGGTTAGCTTTATCATGAAAATATTCCCAGAGTTTCTTAGTTGTCAGTTATGCAAGAAACAGGAGGCAGAAAATCGAGATGATAATAATAGATTCCTATGATGGTGCCTTCCTGTAAAGTGTCTTGCCTCACATTCATGTTTTTGAGTGGACAAGCACAGTGTTTTATATAAATCAGAATTTTTCTTCCTTTCTTAGAGGAGAAAATAAAAAGCATGTCAATTCATATTGTTCTGCTTGAGGTAACATTGTGTATTGATAGCATTTTTTAAATGAATGTAAATTTTTCATTCTGTTGCATCCAGTTTCTCTCAGAAGACATTTTTTTGTACTTGAAGAAGTTTGGTTTGCAATTAATTTAAAATTCTTTTGATTTCACACCTCTAGTACACATTAAATACAGGAGAGTTCACAATCACGGCTATTAATTTAGTAGAGTATTGGGAGCTGATGTTTCATCAAAGTTGGGTCACATTCAGTTTCCTGTGACAATGTGTATGTTGAGCCTCTGATTCACTGAACAGCCATAGGAATTCAATATTCTTCCTTCCCCTTTCCTGCATCTCTTCCATTAGTACCCCCTTGTTTCAGAGTGGGCCTTTACATTCTCATGGTTTCATAGCTACCCAGTCACCCATGAGTAGCTTGCTCATACTGCACTTCCATGACTTTTGGGAATTTTTAACTGAAACCAAGTGTCTTGGAACTGATGGCAGATGGATTGTTGCTGGGAGCAATGTTAAAAAATTGAAATTAAAGTTAATTAATTAAATTAATTAAAAATAACATTAAAAAATTAACTTCTATACCTTAAACACCAGGAAAGGGGTCTGAATACTTCACTATGAACGTTTCTAAAAAAAAAAACAAAAACATAAAATAATTGTTTTCATAGTTTCTTAAAAATAAGCAGGCCAGTTCAAAGGCACTGGTAGCATTTTCCCCAGGTTTGTTGTTACTAACGTACGTGAACAAAGAGAAGAGGGTTGAAAAAATGTGGCTCAGCTCTTTCATAGATGGTAAAACTGCCAAAAATCCTGGTCCTGAATGTTTCCCCAAATTAGTTGGCAGGTTTAGAGCCCCAAGTAAGTACTAATCTGACTTTTGCAGGGTTTTTTCCCTACTGAAGTTGTTTGGAACACAACTACATAGGAAAGTATAAATGAAAAGTGATTTCATTTCATTTCGTTATTTGCTTAATGAAAGCTAAGCAGATTTGCAGAAACCTGGGGAAATCATTAATATTCCAGATTGAACCCACAACTTTCTTGCCTTTTTGAGATTCAAGAAGAAATCCTCACTTGTCCACTGTTTGCTGGAAGCTGAAAGACCTGTTTGTTCTCCTCATGGGGGACTCTTTTGTGGCCCTGAGTGAGGACCTTGCCCAGCTGCAGGAGGCATGTCCAGCTGAGTTCCTTGGCTTCTACAAACACACCAGACCTGCCATAAGAGGGCTTTGCTTGCAGCCCAATCTTCCTGACTCACAACCGAAGTTCTCTGTAATCTCTTACATGAAACAGGGGGTCTACAAATATCCTTTTACTTTTTGCAATTTAGTTTCCTATAAAGTTGTTAGTAGAAATCCACAAATCCTTGGATTTTAATCTCAAGGCAGCAACTGGGACAATTTGCATCCTGTTATAGTTTCAGACCCTTGCCCTGGGTTTGTGCTAGTTCAGCACAGCCAATTCAGATTTGGACACAAACATGCCTCAAGTTTATACATTCAAAACTAAAAAGCAAGAGCCTGGTATGAGCTACTTTCATGATGTCACACTGCAGTAAGCAAACAAAAGATATATGATAAAGACACTGCGCAATTATCTGATACAATGGATGTTCAATCAAATAGAATTTTCACTTATCCTTGAAAGGAGAAAAAAAGTCTTAAATGAAGGAGAAATGCAGAGTTAGATTTCCTTTGCCAAAACTTGAAGTAAATTATTCAGGAATTTAAAATTCATAGTGTATAACCTTTGTGTTGCCATTTTTACAGTTGCTCACTGATGTCATTGGACTCAATTTTCAGGATATGAGATCTTGCATGAACAGCTTCTAAACCCTGAAATTTTCAGTTCATTCCTTACACAGAATGATATACATTCTTTTCTACTACTAACCCACAGAGGAAGCACATTTCTAGTGCATTAGATTTTTATTTTCATTATGAAGCTAAAGTTAGTTTCTATATAAATCTAATGCCAAAATAAATAATTTTGTTTGGCTTGATTTTGTACTTTAAATAAAATTGTTAATCTTAACTATTTTAGGAAAACTAGCATTTTTACACAGTGCAACTTATACAGGTAAGGATGAATTTGGTTGCAGTGGTTGATGCCTGAACATCAATGATGGATTATTAACAATGTCAAAATTATTTTATCTATGGTAAGTAGAAAACATTTTTGCTGGTTCTGTGCCGCGGAGTCAGTGCATATGGCTGTGTGTTTGCTTAGAAGAGCAAAGTGTGTTTTTTAGGGTCTCCTGAAGATTTTATGTAAGATAGCATGCATTTTTCCTCACTGCCCCTCCACGTGCCAGAGAACGCGCAGCTGTCAGCCCGCTCTGAGGCTGCATTGTGGCCGGGAGCCGCGGGCGAGCGGGGGAGCCGCGGGCGAGCGGGGGAGCCGCGGGCGAGCCGTGCGGGCCGCGCCAGCTGCCGCTGTGCCGGGAGGAGCGGAGCAGCGCGGAACGGGGGAATCCGGGCTGCTGGAGCTGCTCTGACCTGCGGCTGCCGCCGGCCACAGCTGCCAGCTGTGCAGCGTGAGACACGGGCGGGCTCCGCGCCTGGCACGGCTCAGAGCGCTATGGCATTACGATCTGCTGGATCCGTGGAGCTGAGCATAATAGGAGTGAGTAAATGGCAAGCGTTTGCTGCTGGGAAAGGTTTCCTCTACGTATTACAGATGTGACGGTGTAGAAGGAAGTACGCTTGGGCATGTCCAGCCCAACCCTAGCAGACCTCAGCCTCCGGCTGGCTGAGTCAAGGACAGGTTTAAAATGTGCCTGTGGCAGGAAGTATTAAAATCTCTTGCTCTGAAATACCTGAGCTTACTGATGCCTGAGCAGAGGCTGAGAAAGCTCAAATGCTCACAGGTGAGAAAAAACACTTCAAAGTTTGGGTATGTGAGTTTTTTCTATGCAAGAAGTTGGAAGTGCCATTGCTCTCAAACAATCTGAATGCCAAAGACAATGGGAAAAGCATCTATTACCACCCTTAGTTCTTTTTCACCCTTCATCTGCAGAGGAAGTCACTATACTGTAATAAAAATAATTTACAGGTGTGTTTTCTCAGGAATCATTAAATCTGTACTTTCTGCACATGAAGATGTTTCAGTCCACATTTCTAGATAAGACCTACCTGGGATTTAGTTCCTTTGGCAAGGCTCTTGGTTTTTCACCACTTTTTCACTTGGTAAGAATTCTCACTTGGTAAGAATACAAGAATTGCCATGATGGTCATCTTGTCTCCCTGGCTAGTGATCCTTCTAGAAGGAGATCTTCACTGGTGCCTACTCCTGTCCTTCACTAACCAGAGCTGCGCAATTTCCTGACACAAAGGCTGCATTTGGATCATGCAAATGCAGGTATTTTGCAGCTGAGTCTCTGTGTAGGTCATGTCTCTTGAAGCTGTTTTGTTTGCTTCTACCATGTGGCAAGAATGCCCCTGATGGAATTTTGCTGTGTTAAGAAGAGCTTATTTTCTGTTTGGTTTAAATATGATTTCACTGAGTGCTGATGAGTTTTGATTTTACAAAAACAGCAAGGAGTATTCCTCATCTTGAGATGTTTTCAGCGTGGAAAGTGAGTTACTTAATCTCTTGTGATTAAAGCACTTTGTATTTCTGATCATTCTTTTTTACTTCAATTTTTCTTTCTCCTGTTTCTGTCTGTGTGTTGTATAATTTCTGAGATGCACTGGAAGCACCATAATATACAAAATGAGGGCATGCCATAGAATTGCTCTGTAGTCTAAATCTATTTTTTCCCTGTTTATTTTCTGGGAATTGTTAATGTTCTACTTGCCTTTTGGCTGTCACAGACTGCTGATCCTATGTCTTGCAACTATGCAAAATGACTCTCAGGTCCCTGTACCGAGTCAGAGTAATTGAAAACCAACTGTGTGATGCAGTTAGTATTTTTCTGTATGACTATGAAGCTTATTAGTCAGCCTCTCATATGAAGATTTTTTTTCTAGCTCTGTAATTTTGTCATCAAGAAACACTTTTTTCCTTTGTCAGATTATCTGTTAAAATGTTGAATGCCCTCTCAGGCATTCTAGATTTTAAACAGCTTTGAGAAGTCTCATTTATTTCCTGGAGAATCTTATTTTTTGGAGGGACTTAGTAGAGAAAAAACCCCAAACTAACCAACAAACAAACAAACCAAAATACCCTCCATACCCATACAATGTACAAGTGACTTAGTATTTCATGGATGTGGAACTACTGCAATACTGATGTCAGAAGTTGGATCTTTTTTGTCCTCTCAAATGGATTTTTTGTGTGTGATGCCAAAAACAAGTTGGGCGAATGGGACAAATTACCAGCAGTTCTTTCACTAGTAGGAATGGACATGGGGAAGGGGCTGCTGCTCCCAAGTTAGCGTTGCTGCCACTTTGTATTTCCCACAGGGCCTGGTCCAGCATGCTCCTGTTGTAAATCCTGCCCCAGAACCTGCTCTCTTTCTTACCAATTCACTCCAGAGCTCTCCCCTCCTATTAGCTGTTGTTGCATATCAGGCCCTCTTCTCTCATTCTTCTCTAAAAATACAATGAAATAAGCCCCAAATCTTGTTTTTGATAGCGATTTATGAAAACCTGTATAGTGAGCTTCCACGTCCCTTTTTTTCCCAGTTTTAGAAGAGAATTACAGACCAGCTGGCTTGCCTAGAGTCCACCTACTAAGGATTTAAACAGGAATGTGCTGTTTTCAACCTGCAATTGCTTTCTCTTCTAGAACACTTTTTTTATTTTTTTTTAATTTGGAGCGAATAGCATGTTTGCAAAATTAATGCCAACAGCTAATAAAAAAGTCCACAAAAATAAGCAGTCTGTTGCAGTTGTTTGAGGTAATGTCACTATAGCTTTCCTCCTGCACCCTTCTTCTAGCCATAATTTCATTAAGTGCATAGAGGCTTATATACAGCTCTTCCCTCTGCATCACAGCTGAAGGAGGTATTTTGTTTCCTGATTTTAACAAGTATGTGGACTTCACCTAAGCTGTGATATATCTAAGCACACAGTTGAACTCCCTTGTCTCTGAGTGAAGAAAACAAGTTCAGCTTTCCAGATACAAATGACTCACAGGAAGCTGTGTAAGTTCATTGGATTTTTTCAGCCTTTTTCTAACATCTTTTGCCAAAGGGGAACGTACAGCCTATTATCAGTGTAAAGAAACACTAAGAAAAATTTAGTTTACCTTTGCAAGCTCAACCATTTTTCCTCCTGGAGACCTCTTCCCCTCTTTATTAAAGAAGCAACTCATTACTTCAAATCTTTCCCTATTTTTTTGATAGGTCACCCCTAAATTCAATGTATTCAACTTCTGCTTCAATTAAAAGTAAATTCTTTAATTGGAATGCACAATTAAATGGAATGCACAATAGTAACGGCCAACAAAGACTGGCTCATTAAACTGCACATAATTACTACAAAACAGCTGCCTTTAAAGACCTTCAAAAGAACAGTTTGCCCATTAGTTGTGCTTTTCTTTTGATATGCATAAATTTAGCACTAATACATCTTAGATTCACAAACTGCCTTTTTTCATACCTGTATCACAGTAACTCATTAACTCAGATCCACACAATTAGCTATTCAGCCTTTTGCAAAGTATGGAAACAAAGTTGGAAAAAAAGGAGACAAGAAATTTTATACATCAATATATTTCTTACAGAAAAATAATCAAAAGTAAAAAATAACGAAAATTACATTTAAAGCAAAGTTCAGTAGCTAAGTTGTAATCCCAAGAGGTAACACAGACCACAAGAACAACCTCTGAGAGTCTGACATGCAAGATGTCAGATGATGCTCTGTCACACACATCACTCTCCTTGGTGTCACCTGGGTGTAGTGGCTTCCCTCAGATAACCCAGGCGTGACAAACCTTAGTGCAGCTTCTGGCTGTTATCTTGACAGCAGATGACAGATGAAGGGGAAGTAGCTCAGACATGTCACCATGCAAGTTTTGGTGGCTATCACAGTACACCCATGAAAATGACATGATTTCCACAAAGGAGGTTGCCTTCTCTGTGGTTGTGTAACCCCCTCTCCCTGGAGCCCCTGTGGAAGACTCTCCAAGGCTCACCTGTACACAGCAGCAGCTGTGACATAGCACTGCTGTGTATCCCTGACTCCAATTGAAAGCACTGTAGAAAAATACTGTAGAAAAGTAACAAGAGTAAAATTGAAGCCCCAGTTGAGACAGGGGTTCTTAACAGCTCAAAAATTCAAGAAGCTCAACACCAAGTAGAAAAGTATAAAATCTTACTGTAAAGAAAACAACAGGGAAGCTAGTCGGTCTAACCCTTCCCCTTTCCTGATGGCTGCTTGGCTAGGAAAGGCTATCCAAGTGCTTTATCAAGGAGTTGAGTATTCAGCCTAATCACTTTGTCAAATTCAGAATGTCTTTTTTGTTTACTAACCAATTCATGGTTACATTATACTTTTTCACACTATATATTTTTCTTGCGGAATTTCTTTGTGTGCAGGTAAAGATGCCCACAGAAGCAAGTTCAAAAGAGGGGCACTAACCATAGGCGTAGCATAAAAGCAAACAGAAAAAGCCCACAGAAGACTGTCTTCATCGACTGACAGCAAAGCCCAAACTTTTCAGTAGCTGTGCATTTATTTCCTTGTGAAAGCCATCACTGTGTTTAGGGGAAGTGCCTGCTTTTGATTTCCTGAGATGTTTCATGGAAGACAGTGTCCTACTGTTTGTAGAGAGCATGTGCCATCTAGGTTTGGGTTTTTTTCAGCATCTGGTGGCCTCAAATTTTGTACAACCATCAACTGTTCCAAAATATTGTGTGTTCTTGTTCATGAATGTGGCACACACTTTTGGTATCCCTGGCAAAGCAGTCCTTTATGTAAAACTGGCTTATGGGAAGTTGGTTCAGCACAGCAACTGCAGTCTGACAATACTCTGAATTTGGTACTCTGAAAGTACTCCATAACCAAGGGGTCAGCTCAGAGACTGCATAGCTGCTTCACTGTGCAAACCATTTAAACATTCTCACACCCTTTCTGTTTGACACAGACAAACATTCCAACATAAACCACTCTGTTACACAGAGCGTTGCCAGCATCTAAATACAATAGACAAATGTAACTTTTCTGCACTAAGGGCTAAATTGCACTGAACAGAGGAAAACAAACCAACAATGCTGAAAAGAGAGGAGTGTATTTCAAAAAGTGCATTTCAAAAAACTTATTTAGTACAAACAGAACGATGTATTATGCAACTATTTCAAATAGCCAATCTATACCAAATCTAAGAGATAGAATCACAAAATTATTATTTAATCATTATTATTTCTAGACTACAGGAAAGTGCCTTGAAAGAAGATGGTCCATAAGGTTTTTATCACGTTCACCACATCTGTAAACAGAATAAAAGGATCTGTTATTTATGAGTGCCACCTTGCTTTCAATGTGAAATGTGGAGCTTCTTGGTGATTTCTCCGAGAACATTCCAGAGACCCTGAGGATAAAAGACATTACCTTTGGACTCCTACACATGAATACAATTTTATCGGGGTGGTCTTCCTAGGTACTGCCAGAGCTTTGCCATACACTTTGCATGGATAGTAGCAATATGTGCTCAGCAGGGCATTTGCACATTTTTAGAGCACAGCATGCTAAATTAAGAATTTTTATTGAAACATAGAAGAGGTTTAACAATACAGAAGACAACATAATGCTTACAGTGCTACTTTTCCTAAAACCTGTCTATCAAAATTAATTTCTGGCAAGTTCAAAATACCACACTGGCCCAAATATAATGGCTTTTTCATTAGAGCAATTAAAACTTGAAAGAAATACACTTATCTTACATTTGTTTTCCAAGTTTCTGACCAAGCTTTCAAGCCCTTTTAAAAACCAAACAAGAAGACCTAAACTGCTGGTAAAATGTGCAGCAATCAAGGTCTTTAATGAACATGTAAGCTGGAGCAGGGAACAGGTTCCACAGCAGAAATTTCAGGAGACATTACAGGAAGAAAACAAGGAAAGGAGCCTGTAGCATCCTGTGTTCTTCCCCTCAAAAAGCTGCAAGGCTCCTTTGTAATTGAGAGAATCTGAAATTTATTTAAAAGCTAATTGGTACTCGCACACCAGAAAAAATATTGTCAGCTAACAGAGGAAGGCTGAAAAATAAAATGTATTTGGATTGAAGGTTCAGCAGGCTGCAGCTCTGACAAACAGCAGCAGTAAATCCCACAATAAATATTTGATTCCTCTACACAGGTAATTGCTAGTGACCATTGCTAAGTGACCATTCTCAATTAAATATGCTTTGGGGTCCTTACTTGAATTAAGTGAGCCTACATAACCATTTATTTGAGACAAAATCTTCAGTTAATCAGCACCGTATTGCAAGAGGTTAATTAAGCTCATAGGTGCTAATGGATTTAGAGTGTTTTTATTCCGAGTTATCTACATCTGGCTCAGTCCCTCCTTCATGCTGGCACTAGCAAGAAACCCTTCAGACAGTTTTGGTAGATTTTTTTACCCCTGTCTTCATACCAAACTAGAGCAGAGAGCTGGTCTGGAGGGCCAGCTAACTTCACAATCTCTATAGCTGGCACAAGAGAAGCACTGCTTCTTTTGGCACAACCCTATTACTAGGTGAGCCTAAGCCAAAGTGCATTTTCTACTAGTGGCTGAGCATTTGCAGCATATGATATAAAATGCTGAACCAGTGGTAAAGTTGATTAAAATCAGGACTTTTTTCTAATGCCTTCTTTAAGGACTCTGAAAACTCTTTTCAATCCTTACCGCCACAATGTATGGTTGTATAGTAAAAATCCATCAAAATCTCTCTTCTGGGCAAGTAAACAGGTTCTGATAGGATATTCCTTCTTATGGACTGTCTGTGGGCATGCACTACAGAGTAAGGAAGGGACCATTACCAATATCCTTGTCTAAATTCCTACATAATATATGCTAGACTCAATCCAACAATTTCTGCGTCAGACTTCTGCTCTTGGCTGTATAAACTCCCATGGCAGAGTTTCAAACAGGCCCTCTTCTCTCTTGCAGGCAGCCAAGCTATTTGCAAACACTTTCACACATTCTCCTGCCTGTGAAAAATGTAGGCCAGCTTACCACAAGCAGAAAGTGTGAAAGCATTCTTAAAAAACCCAGCTGCTGGCCTGTTTTTCATAGAGTGCAAGTCCTTTTAAACACTCCCCTACCTTCTACCATGTAAACCCTCCTTTTTCACAGAGGGAACTTCCCCCTTTCTAGGGTGAGAACACCACATGAGCCATGTCCCCTGCCGCACCACAGCAGACTGCTCTTGCACCACTATTGCTACCCCACTAAGGCTCTAGTCAAATTGTAGTACTGAATGCAAAAAACCCACACCCAGCTGTGTCTGCTTTTACTTCTCAATATTTCAATGCATTTCTAAATATCAATATAATCCATAATTATTTGATCCTTAAGTAAAACAAGCAGGAAATTGAAAGAAGGTGTATTTGTTTTAGTACAAGCAGTCAATCCAAATTAATTCCACTTAGGTCGATCAGCAATACTTAGCTACAGCTAAAGAAAGAATTCCTCATTGATGAGGGATTTAATACATTTATACATGAAAGGTATGTAAGGTAAAAATTAAGAAACAAAATTAATCAGAAATTAGAGACACAGAATATTTCCTTGAGTAATGCTTGGATTTTGATCCGATTTTCACTATAATGTTCAGAAGAAGAACACCATGCAATATGGAAAATAACATGAGATTTAAAAAGAAAATACAAGGTTGCCTACCTGGGACTAAGATGCTGAAGGAATTGAACCTTCTTTCTCATTTGGTCCCAATTTTGCTTTACATTCTTTGCAAGCATGATGACACTGCCTACAGAATTGAAAGCAAATAAAACACTGAAAAATTTGGCTGGATTTCTTCTAATACAACCATATAGTATGATGGCAAAAGTTCTTGAAGAAGTGATCTCTTGCCTATATTCCCCAATTTTTGTAATATGGGATATAAACTGCAAAATATGACATCTAAATGTCTCAGCCAATAATGCCCATTAATCAGTATTAAGTACTCCTTCTAGAAATTGCCAAAATACAACAGGATTTTCTAAGCAGCAAAGACAGTCCTTGCCATTGTACCTATGAGCAAACTGAGCTAGGAGTAAGGTGTATAAAATTTTGTGTAATACCAACTACATACTTTGTTATATCAGGGAATAAGTACAAGTAGAGAAATAGATGAACAATGAAGAAGCTTCCTATTATCAGTCACGCATTTTTATAGGCATAAAAGCCCATGCTGGTCTGGTGGAAAGATGTGGAATGACAAAGGAGTATGATTTTTTTGGATAGAATTTTTGGAAATGTGTTTTGTGAGTGAAAGGTTTATACCAGAAGCCATATTGAGAATGGAGAGTGTAACAGGCAGCTGAAGGAGGATCTGGGAAAGAAGTCAGAGCCTGATTTGATGTGAAGGAGTACTTTATGTGAAGTGGAGAAAACAGTGACTACAACATGGAGTGGCGGGTGACAGAAGTCAGCCACTGAGCTCTTTTCTATGGTTAGAGGTGCACAGTGGAATAAGCACCATCTCAGTTCCTGCTCTTCATGGTTTGGTATGACAGCATGAGGTTTGCATGAGCAAAGCCATAGAGGAGAGGGAGGTTGGAATATGGATTGAGATTGACATTGTTGTTAAAATATGAGAACTTTATAAAAAGATCTGTAGCATATTTGGCCTGAGGTATGTTCCAAAGGAAGACTCACAGGATAGAAGTGATAACATGGACAACTTTAGCAGTATGAAACTAGATGAAAAGAGAGTGAGTAACTGTTGTCACATCACATCTCAAAGTACAATAGTTTCATTTAAATAATGGATATCCTAGTATTACAGGTATTACAATAAGTTTAATTTGCATTTTCTGAAGAATGTGTAGTAGTTTCTAATACTGCAATATATAGCCGAAGACTATGACTAGTACCTCAGGATCTAATCACAGAATTTAAATTCATAGCTTTGCTGCATGTAATTTTAGTGTGTTTTAGACTATTTTAATCTAGGCTTAGTAATTTAAATAAGCACAGACCTTTTTTGTTGTGGACCAAATGGTGCAATGCCAATTTTCTGAAACTTCTTTTGGCATTCTCTCATGTATGACATCTTTCCAATGGCAAAACCCAAGACACCAGCAACTATAGAGACAAGTAACAAAACATTGTTAATACAACAGTTTAAATCAGGAGTGTGCTATTGACCCGTTTTGATCATATAAGAAATTGTGTACCACACCTTCTCAGAATATGTCACAAACACATCTGAAGTTACACAGGGTTTACAGGGGTCAATTCAATAACTGCTGAAAACCAGTTACCTATGAGAGAGTGCAACTGGTCCAAAATAATTGATAAAGAAAAAGGATATGATATTCCCACATACAGGAAAAGGATATAATGTTTAGAGGAACAGATTTTAGGAAATGAAATTAATTCACAGTGTCAGCTGTTGCTATTGCCTTTGTTTGCACAGCGTGGTTTACTTCTGATGATCACACGTTTAACACCAACTTCTCTGGCCTTCTAAGAAGTTAGAACATCAGCTTGTCATACTGTTGCACTGTGGCTTTCACTTGAGTCAGAATAAAAGACTACTTCAATGTCCTTGATTTCCTGCTGAATTTCTGCTGAAGAGGGAATCAATTTAATCTCTTGTCATTTAGGAGCCACCTCACTGTACAGTACAGTTTCTGTGCTTCTATTTTCTTTATCATTCCATGGTTCTTAATTAGACAGTTGAGGTCAATCAAATAAACACATGAAAAGAACCATATATATTTTATATATTATAGTATCATGACTTCTTGATACCATAAGTTGTGCAATCTGCCAAGCACAGCTGATCAATGAGGCTGACACAATTTATAAAACAAAGTGCAGACTAGAGTTTATACTAATTTGAGAGATTGCATTATATAAGCAGCTGCTAAAAATATTTACATTAGAAGAATCTTGTCATACATTTATTTTTAAACACATCAGGAATCTGATTTCCTAATCTGCTGGGGTAACATATAAATTCAAAAAAGGTTTTAGAAAGAAATTCAGAGAGATCCATCTAAGGTCTTCATATTGCCTGTAAAGAACCTTTTCTTTCCTTTTAGAATTGTGTACAACTTACTTGCCATCTTGGGGTATGGACCAAATCTTGGGCTTGCTGAGAATATACCTACAATAAAATGAAATAGTCAGAGAGCTTATTCACTTGAGGAATTCACCAGCACTCAAAACCAGGGCACTAGTTTTCCTACAGCTTTTGCATTTCTTAAGGTGAGGGTGGTATGAAGTCCACTAACTCTTATTTTAGTACACCAGGGCACTTTCTATTCCACTAGTTCTTAGTGCATGTGTTTCAGGGCAGTCCTAGAGTCATAGGAGGAAGAGAATTTGGACTTTGCAGGATTCAGTTCAGACAGCAGTTCAGAGTAAACCAACATGAAAGCAGAATGTCTGCCACTGGTGACACCTGCAGCACTGCAGAGGAAGTGATGGTGGCTTATGCTTCAGCACAAACCAACCCTGCATATAAAATAGCAAAATGAAATCTCTTACACAGAGTTCAGCTCCAGCTAAGTAGGATGAAACTGCTCTTTGGTAGCTTTCTGTGGCTATCAACTAAAACTGTACCACTGGCATCTAGCCTTCTCCTCTGGAGAGGAAAGATCATGCCTTTTGGCCCTTAAGAGGAAAACAGTGTTCTAAACAAGAAAAGCAAAAAATTATCTTTAGCTTTTCCATCAAAATCCACTCTCCCAGTTAATCTAAGGAGGTGAAACCAGTATTCCTCTGAGAACTGTGTGTCTGGCAGAGGAATGCCATGCTGTGGAGGAGGGCTCCACACAGCAAGATTACCGTGGCAAAGGGAAGTGAACACTGGTTGCACTGTTACATGCATTCAGATAGTAATAATGAGGCTCAGAAGCTCCAGCATCTTCTGGAGGCAGGATACTGTGTGTAGCCATCAGAAGAAAGTACTTAGACAGAGAAGTATTCAGCCTGTGCTAAGCACAAGGGCCTTTGCCCACTGTGATCTATTTCATATTTCATATCTATTTCATATTTGGTCTCTTGAGGGAGGGAGGAACAAATGTGTTGTTTGTTTCTAATCACCCCCTTCCAATTGTTGATGCACAGTAATGATTACTTAGTAAGGGCATTTGTTATTTCACAGCTGATCAGAAACATCCAAGTACAATGAACAGAAACTGGGAAGAGTACCTGGTGCCAGAGGCTGGCATGTGAGCTACAGAGAGAGCCCCAGTGCCCTTCCTATCACCCTTTTTCAAATGTGTAATCCTTATCCAACACTATTACTCCTTCCCTCCCTTTCTCCCTACAAGCTCATAGGTCAAGGATGGAATGGGGAACTCACATCAGCCTCTTGTGATATAGCTTAGCAGACTTCAGGATGGATGCCCTTCACTCCTTCCCCAAGACACCAACCTCAACCTTTTACATCGTCAAGACCCCCAGCAGGGAAACTGAAGGTGCCATGTGTAGAACCAGGCTCATCCACCACATAAACAGAACACAATTTTCTTTTGTGTTAGCCTGCAGATTGTGAGCCATCTCTACAGAAAGCCCTCTGTCTTCTCACTTTGGCAGTACTCTGTGTCCCTTTGCACCAAAGCTGTAATCATATTGATACATGGTCACTGCAAAAACATTGTCAGCATTTTCAAATGAAACAACAGTTAGAGCTACAGTACCCAATCCTAATGGCCCTGCTTGGGTTGTGCAATGCTCTGCCCTATGAGCTGCCCCAGTGAAGACTCTAATCAAATACGTGTGATCATGGGGACAAAATTCAGCCACCTGTCTTTGGATTTGCACATTCTCTTTTCAGTTCATGTTCTTGCAAAAGAATGGTGGCAATGCACACATAATAATCAAATCACCACAGCAATGATGATAATGAGTGAGAAGAATATTGATCTTGAAAAACAGCACGTTAATGATGTATTTTTTTATTTTTACCTTTTGTGATTAGCCCCTGGGTGACAAGCATGCTCCCAAGAGATAAAGGAAGAGCTGTGAAAATGAAAAGGAGAGCAGCTGGTATCAGTGAAAATTTGTTACGTATTTGGTAAATACTCTCTTATACATTAAATGTTTTCTGTTTCTAATGTTAAACATATTATTTCTAAACATTAACTTTGCCTACTACCTTAATCACCTATTACATCTGCTCATTCAGATTATGTACTCTTCAAAGCAAAGATGTCCTCACACAGTGCCAGACATCAACCATGCTGTAACACCTGGAGCTAATGCAATACATATATATTTATTAAATAATAGTTTCCACAATCTGAATATCTCCTCTAACTACTGCAATACTTGTAATGACAGCAGCTCCAATGAAATGCTGAAACCCTTTTCAATCTTCTCCATTCAGGAAATATGTCATTTAGATACAAACTGAGAGGGTGGGAGTAGAGGCACTAAAACACCAAACACTGATCTTTTAGATGTCCTAACATACATTCACAAATCAAAGACACATAGCCATGCCTGCCTTCCATTCAAAAGCAAGGATAAGTATGTAACAAGTAAAAGTAAAAAAGTAAAACATCCGTATGGCTGTAATAATGGACTTCAAGAATAGAACCAATCTTACTACAACTGCTAAAGTTCATATTAAATAAGACCTCAGTTCAACCACCTTTACCTACAACAATTATGCAAATAATTCAATTAAACCTTTAAGAATACAAAGCTTAACTTAACATGACAGAGTTAACCCACAACAGTGTTCCAACAAAAAAGCATTTTGCAGACAGTTTTGTATACATACATCAAGAAGTCATTCTGTGTGTGGTGTGGTAAGAATGACTTTGGATCACTCACCTCTGTACCAGAAACTTTCCTGTTTGCATTCTTTCCGGATCCTTGCAATCTCGCTGTCTTGAATTTGGGACATGGGACAAAATAGCATTGGCTGAAAGCATAAACCTGGCTTAGTTTAGTGAATTTAATCTCACAGGAAGAAAAAAAAAATCAATTGGAAGACATAAATTATTTAAAAAACAATAAAATACAAAAGCCTCCAGGCAAAACTCCTTATTCTGTTGTTAGCAGTGTGATGAAATCTTGATACCCCAATACAGAAAAAGAAAGAACTACACAGGTTTTAAGTTTAAACCACCCATCTTGCTAGTCTTTACTTTCCTAAAATTGTTCAGCTGCTGCGTACCCCAGAAGCATATTGCTTTATATCTGTTAGTCATTTCACTCTCATGAGCTACATTATGTCTCCCAGAAAAAAATGACAGGAAATAAAGACAGAGTGGCAGTTTTCAAAAATCAAGATTGCACTATACAGAAGTCAACTGAAGTTCAATAAGAGGAGATTTTGCAAGTATTTAGAAGAGGGTCAACATAAACTCTGCCAGACTTCCCACTGGTAGAACTTTCTCTCTTAGCAATTTAAATATATCCATGGCATTAACTCCACCATAGTGGTTTCACCCTAATACAAATCAGGCTGCCAACAGACTTCTTTAAGATAGCTCTTTTTTCTCCATTATGATTGTGAGGAAAAAATGACAGTACTTTCTCTTGCATTCTACTATCCAGGGTACTGACACGCAGACATAAGATTATTTTTCTTTCTTTAATAAAAGACTCAGTGTTAGGATTTGAAGTGTAGTTATCAGACATCTGAGATAAATGGGTGTACTGGTTTTGACTGAACAAGAGTTTATTTTCTCCCTAGTAATTGGTATGGTGCTAGGTTTTGGATTTATGAAGATTTGTGAAGACCAAAGCAGTCTTCGCAATACAGGGATATTTAATTACTGCTGAGTAGATCTTACACAGAGTCAAGGCCTTTTTTGTTTGTCAGGCTACCCCACCAACATATCAGTTGGGGGTACAGAAGAATTTGGTAGGGGACACAGCTGGGACAGCTGACCTCAGCTGATCCAAGGGATATTCCAATTCCATACCATGACATTGTGCTCAGCAAGAAAAGCCAGGGGAAAGGAGTTGTCATGAAGTTAAAATTAATTGAAATTTTTACATTTTCCTGTAAAAACACAACATCTTCAAACATACATATTCTTGAAAGAAAACCCAGACATCATAGAACAAGCAATGCCTTGGAAAAAAGAGCACATTCATCTATTACAGGGTTCTATCTCCTTTAATGCCTGACTAATCCATGATTTTATAGCCATAACAAGGAAATGCATTTATTGGCCATAGCCACACATTTCACATTATAGGTAATCAATATCTCAGCCCTTCTTCAAGCACCGCTCCCACAGAAGTTAATGGTGGTGGCTGCTTGGGTGAACAATTGGCTCCACTCCAGCCCATAGAGAACCACTTCAAACTGGTTTCACAGCAAGGTCGTAGCAAATACAGTAAAATACAAACAGGCTGACTGAAAGATAAGGAAATGCATGTCAGAGCCCCAAGTGCACCAACAGGCTTTGCAACCCTTTTGCCTCCTTACACACCCTGCCAGGTGTTTAGTTGCTTGGGCTCAGAGTCAGCTCAACATGGCAGAATTGTGTAACATCGAGTTAGACCAAAAACAGAAAAGCTCGGAAAAAGCAGCAAGAAGTTTTGCCCAGGGCCTCTGCCCTTCATATCAGGTGCTGTGTATAAGCTCAGGCCCTTGCTTTAACTGTTGCTATAGGTTTACCTTGCCTTGTTAACCTGATCGCCTGGCTTAGCATCAGACTTGCCTGGCAATCACTGAACTAACTGTAGGCTGACCCTGATTAAGATCACTGGATCTGCTCTCCTCCTCTTTTTGGGTACTGTGCTCCCTGTATTTGAGGCCCCAGCCCCTGCCACCTTGCTGTAACTTGTGGCCCTTCCTTGCAGATCAGCCTAATATTGCTGCCCTCTGGTAGTGACTGATTAGCAAAAAGTCATAACACATTTAAATTCCTCAATTTCTCCATCAGAGGAGAATGTTCATCTTCTGTAAAGCTGTAGACCAGATTCTTGTGCTGTACTGTTCCCTTCTCCCCTTCTGAACATGTGCATGCAGAACCTGATGGGGACAGGTTGTACTGGACTAGTACTCAAGACACCATGGCTATGCCAGCTCGTAACTCAGGGCATAAATTAGAGCCTTAAGTAAATTCACAATTCCTACCCCTCTAAGCACAGTGAACCAGGAAAAAACAACACACCATCCTTTCCTCTCTTCATCTATATGCTTAAGCTAACAGACACCTATTTCTCTCTTCAATAAGAGCAACTGAGGCAAAATCCCAGTTATTCATTAGCAATAGCACCGACATACAAGGAAGAAAATCCAGCTTACCCATCCAGGTTGCTTTATTGGAGGTGTCTGACTTCCCTGTTGGACTGTTTCAGAAGACATTGTCTCTTTCCTTGTAGTCTGCTACTGCTCTTGTTCAGCAGAAACTATGTATTTTATGCTTGGCTACTTCTCCTTCTGCTAGGAACAAAGGTAAATTGTTGAGATATCCTACTGATACTTTTAAGTCCAATGTTCATCCAGAAAGAAAAATTACCAGGTTGAAAGGAGTGTATTTTTTTACAGCAGATAGCCTCCAGTCACCTGATACACAGCTGACAGCACAGTTTATCACTTATCAGCAACAAAGAGATGTGTGAAACTTAAGCAGCTAAATCAGTAACTACAATTAAATGCTGAATCATGACCTTGTACAGTATGCTCTCTCATAAAGAAGTTAAAATAAATACGAATTGAAAATAAGCAATTGAAAACCTTTATAATTTTTTAATGTATTGCACGTCCGAGAAACAGCCTCTTTAGTGTCCTGTCCAGAATTACTGCACTACTTCTATCCTCACTGCCATCATCTGAACCCTGCATTCCATGGGACCCACCAGGCACACCTATCACAAACCACATCTGTATCTCCAAATACACAATTCAGTTACACACATCTTTTAAAAAAATAACACAAAAGAATAAACAGATTCCAGAGTTTCAGAGTTGCAATCTTCCATGCTTGAGAGCTGCACTACTATGGAAAAGCAAGAAGGAAATTAATTTATTTCTAGAGTAATTCAAGCACTTCTGCTTTTCCAAAAGTACCTTCATATAATGGTGGCACTGAGCAAAGCTAAAGTGACCGTGAAGGGCAGAGTTAAATAGAAAATATATGCAACAATTTATTGACCTAAGTGTTTTTCGGCATTCATAATATCACTGTATAAACCACTTCCCACACTTATTTTGGAGTCAGTTACACAGCTATGAAGTTCAAGCAATGTCTGCTTCACATACATTAGATATTCAGATAGCAAAGTTTTTTTAAGTAATAGAAGCAACATAATCTCATCTCCCCTTGGTAAAAAAACTTAAATAGAGCATTGCATTCACACTAATCCGCACTTTATTCTCAGACACTCACAAAAATGACAGTAATCACTGTGTCTTTGAAAAAAAGTGAGTTTGAAAACCCATATTATATGAGGAAAGCTCACAGCTCTACACCATCTTCCTCAATGTGAGCGCAATTTAATTTTCATCAGTCTCTTGCCACTTAATGCAAAAAAAGGACATAAATATGAGAAAGATGCATAAAACTTTAAAGAGGTTTGTGTCAAAAAATGAAACAAGTTTTATTATTCTTATCTGCTTGCTTATTCTTATCTGTTTTCTTATTCTTATCTATTCACAAAGCCTACTTGTGCAAACGGCTGCATAAAAATAATCACTGGAAACAGTTTCTAACTGCTGCAACAGATTTAAAGCGCTTGTCTTTTTCAAGATGAGAAAACAGCTGAGTCACAAGAGGAAAATAAATAAAATATAATTAAGCAAAAAGAATGTGTATAAATTAAGATTATAAAGATTTGCAGTTTGCCATTGCCCTCCTATACTGTTCTAAGTACATGTTTCTCCTGAACTTTAAGTTTTTCAGCTATGCTACTGCTTCAACATAATGAAGATCCCCAAAACTATTTATCCCTTTAAGCAGCCTCATGGTACATCTCCCACATGGAATGAAAGCTGAAAGCTATACTGGCAAGAATGAAATAAAGAGACAGAGTTGATGTCATTAAAATATTATGTAACTGAATTATTAATATTCATACCTAGCAGACATGCTCTCTCCTATCTATGGACTGTAAAATTGTTCTAATATTTTAAAGCCCTGTATCTTGGAAATACAACTGTCATCCCAAAAAATAACTTTATTTCCATTAGCTTACTGGAGAAATGTAATTTTCTGTAGTACTTATTGCTGTTTTCTCAACCTTACATATAATTCTTAGTATAACAATTAAGTGTATATTTTGGGAAAAATTCCCCAATTATATTATTCTGTTTAAATGAAATACCTATATAACACAAGATTAAATCAATGTGTTCTGCAAGGATCAAATATTCAAAAAACTTATTTGTTTTCAACAAGAAATGTTCTAGATAATTTATTCATTTACAGAAGAAAATGCTAATATTAGGCTCCTTAAAAAATCTCATGGTTCAAATAACTCTAATAGGATGATAAAAAAGCAGAATCCAAGAAGATAGCTAAGTTTTTCAAATATGAGAGTTGTGAACTTCATATACAATGTTTTGGAATAAAAGTCTCCTTCAGAATAGGAATGGTGACCCCATAACTTCTAGGGCTACTTCGGGGAAGAAAGTGGGAACCAAAATTGCATGTATTAACTGGTCCATGCAGTGGGCTATGATGCCCAGGGCAGGCACCACTCATCAAAGATTTCAGAGAGGAACTTCAAGGACCATTGTGAGGAAGATGGAAAATGACCAGACTCAAAATTATGTTTCACACCTATCTGAACTGGCTCTTCGTTTTAAACTCAGGCTCTTATTTCAAAGGTGAGTCTTCAGAGTAGCTGCACTAGGCAGTCAATGAAAAGGTTCCTGTCAACAACCTGACAGCACGGCACGGGGTTGGGGAATGCCCCACGTTTGTTGAGCCCCGCAGCAGCTGCTCTGCGCCCCCACCAAGGGCAGTGCACGCCCGGCCAGCACAGAGTATTTCTTTCACAGAATCACAGAACCAATTAGGCTGAAAAAGGCCTCTAAGATCATCGAGTCAAACCTACGACCGAACACCACCTTGTCAACTGAACCATGGCTCTAAGTGTCATGTCCACTCCACCACCTCCCTCCTGGGCAGTCCGTCCCAATGCCTAATCACCCTTCTTGTGAAGAAATACTCTTCCTGATGTTCAACCCGAACCTCCTCTGGCACAGCTTGAGGCTATGTTCTCTTGTCCTGTCATCAGTCGTCTGGGAGAAGAGACCAAACCTCACTTGACTACAGCCTCCTTCCAGGTGGTTGTAGTGGGGAATAAGGTCTCCCCGAGCCTCCTTTTCTCCAGGCTAAACATCCCCAGCTTCCTCAGCCACTCCTAACAGGACTTAAACTCCAGACCCTTCAGCAGCTCCGCGGCCCTTCTCTGGACACGCTCAAGCACCTCGTGTGCTTTCTGAACTGACAGGCGACGGCCCCGTCGGGCTGTGGCAGCACACGCCCCACACAGCGCCTGCCCCGGGCCGGCTGCCGAGAGGCGACCCCCGCCTTCCCCGGCCGTGACGCCGGAGCAATCCGGCCCCGCGGAGCCCCTGGGCGCGGAGAGGCGGAGTCTGACACCCACGGCCGCCAGCCGCGCTTACCTTCCGCGGGCCGCCGGAGGAAACGGAATGGGCTGGGCTGACCCGGCCCGGCCGGTCCCGGAAGGCCACGCGTGGGCCAGGCGGCACAGGAGCCGTGACGGGACGGGGAGCGGCTGCAGCCGTGCCCGCCTGCCGCGCTGAGCGGCGCTAGGGCGGGGGCCGGCCCTGCCGTGCTGCGGGGTTCCACCGCCACCTCCCGGCCGCCGGGCGCAGGGACACCGGAGCAGCCGTCCCGCAGTGCCCGCCCAGTTCCCTCATGGCCCGGCTTCTCGCTCCCACGGGGATCACACGAGAACTTCTGGCCTCCCGGTGGGCTGCTCTGGTAGAAGAACAGCGGCCGCGCTAAGAAAATTACGCGTTCTCGGATTTCCCCAGTGAAATTCAGAACGCTCTTTTAGCAAGGGTATGTGTTAACGAAGATAACAGAATCACAGAATCGTTGGGGTTGGAAGGGCCCTCCGGAGGTCATCTGGTCCAACCCCTCTGCAAAGGCAGGGTCACCTGGAGCAGGTGACACAGGAATGTGTCCAGGTGTGTTTGGAATACCTGGAGAAAGGGAGACTCTGTGACCTCCCTGGGCAGCCTGTTCCAGTGCTCTGCCACTCTCAAGGTAAAGAAGTTCATATCTAGATGGATCTTCTTGTTTTAGTTGATGGCCATTACTCCTCATCCTGTTTCTGGGCACCACCAAAAAGTGTCTGGCACCATTCTCTGACACCTGCCTTTGAGATATTTATATGAACTGATGAGCCCCCCTCCCAGTCTTCTCTTTCCTAGACTAAACAGGCCCAGCTCCTGCAGTCTCTCCTCAAGAGAGATGCTCCAGACCCCTCATCATCTTTGTGGCCTCCACTGGACCCTCTCTAGTAACTTCTTGTCTTTCTTGTAGTGAGGAGTCCAGCATACAACACATGGGGTCTGTCCTACGAATTTAAAATAATTTTTCTGGAAATGAAATCTTGTTCTTTAAGAAAGTAACAATAAATTCTACTTTGACCACTTTGGAATGAAAAGTATTCCTTATCTACTTTGATTTTAATCCTGTGATGCTTATGTAAGTAAATAAATAAATTTTAATATTAACAAGAATTAAACAAATAAGAAAGGCACTTTCATTAAGCAAAAATAATTTTGCAAGAAAAAGTTATCCTGAAAATGTCAGTTGGGTGTGGGAAAGGTTGTTCTAGGAATACTGAAAAAAATGGTTCCACTTTCTTTGAAATGAGAAATGCAATGCTTTTATTTAAGAATAAGTTTTCTAAAACAAAAAGTATAAACATGAGTCTTATTTTGCATTTTATTTTAATAAAAAAGATCCCTGATTCTATTTTGTTTTGCTTTGTTTTTTTCACAGCAAGACATAATAGTTTTCAGTAGAGTATCCTAAATGGTGATATTATACTTCAGTGTTTATCATGAAATAAGTAGCCTGTGAGATCACCATTAATCTTCTTCCTTTTGCATGACCTTGGCCTCTCAGTTTCATAAGAAACACAAATTGTAGTTAATTTTCTTAAGTACAAAAAAATCTTTCAGCTTCCATGAGTCTTGGCTATTTGAAGCCCCTTTGACCAGACTATTCTCCCACTCCTGCCTGCCAAACTAGAGAATCAGACTTTGCTGCTGCAAAATGTGCTTCTCACATGGAGGCTGGGCAAGAGTATTGTCCTAAAACAAGTCTTGAAAGTGTATCTAATACATCCTGGGATGTAAAAGGTATTCTTGAATACATACATGAAAATTATTTATTAGATACTGGCTACATGCTATTCTGAGAAACACAATACACAAGAGAATCCCATCTAGAGTACTTAATAACCAATAACTTCTTAACTGGTCCAGCTTAAACTGAACATAAAATGAAAAGGCACTGGAATGACAATTTTCTCATGGGCCATATGTGTACCTGGGGATAGTGATTGCCTAGAGATAGGACTGTTTGGTTCTTGCACCTTTCTGTGTAAAAGTGCCTATTAAAAATTAGTTTAAGCTTCTTTTTAATTGCAACTTTAAATGTAAAGTTGGTTATCACAATTTAATATTTTCTTCACTATTTCTTTCCAAGATTTATCTGATGTTCCTCAGAGTTACAAAAATTGAGAATAGGTAATAGACAGAAACCAGTAAATGTTAGTGTTTTGGAAGGGTAAACACAAAGCAAAAAAGATTCTTACCGCTCCTGGAACAAAACCAACTTTACACATCAAAGAAAAAAAAATCCAAAGTGATATCAAAAATAAAACAACCAATATGGAATTGAATGTTTAGCTGAGTAGAAATTATCTGTTGTCAGATTAGGAGATTAAGTACTGAGATTTCACAAACTCAGGGAAGGTTTACAGGCTCTGGCTGCTTGACTGAAGAACCTCTTAAGAAAACACTGAAGGGTTGCCAGGGTCCTGAGGCTCACCGCATTCACCAAAGCAAAACCTTTCTGGCGCACATATTTAACAGAAACACTCCACGTTTGTATACAGTGCGTGCCAGAAGGAGGAACAATTACCACTTATGATAAACGTGGTTTATTTGTCTGTTACAAAATCGAACTGTTAATTGCTTTAAAATTCCCTGGGAAACCAAGCTCCACCCCCGTGCTTTGTAACCATAACAGAGCAAGGAAAATGAAGTAACAATTACACGACAAGGCATTGTTCTCATGCTACTTCCATGGGAGTAGGAGTTAAGGGCAAAGGAAAAGACATGAAAAGTCACAGCAGGAAACAGTCAACATACTTCTGAGTAAAACATTAAACTGTTCTCACGACTTACGAGGAATCATGTAAGTTTTCTGTGTCTAGACCGATTCTTGGATGTACTTCTGTTTTATACTTGGTCTGGGCTGTCTTTTACAAGTGAATAGTTGGTAATTATGAAGTGTTGAAGATATAGGATTTCCTCTTCTCAGTGTGAAGTACCAAGTGAAATGTTTTCAGAGATGTGCATGCATTTGTGTTTCCACTAAGATTGTGACAGGTGCCTAACTGTAAACTCCCCACTTCTGCTTTTTTCTAGAGCTGTGGTTTTAATCCTAATCTTTTCTCATACTTTCATTCTTTTTTCCCCCCCATTTCTCTGGCACTTTTTTCTGCTTCTTCATTATGCTCATTCAGGCATCTCAGGCAATATGCAAGGACAACTTCTCACAGGGGTCTGAAAGTTCTTTTAAATGCCATGTGTTTACTTGGGCTTCAAAACAAGCTTGTTTGAACCCAAATAAAGCATTGGTTTTTACAATCACTAGCTTTAGAAAAGTTTACCCCTGTCAACCAATGTAATTATGAGTCTGTTAAATTCAGATAATCTTTTATGTCTGCCTTAGGGTACGGGTGTCTTAAATACTATTCTAGAATGAAAATGCTTCTTGTTTTGTGAGTGAAAACTCCTACTGTAGTGTTTCCTTGACCTTATTAGTCTAACATCATTGTATTCCTATAAAGATCAAATGCTTTTGCTTTATTTTTTGTCAAGTACACCTGTGGTACTCCAGGAATAAAAAAAAAATGCAGTGAAAGGCATTGCTATATATTCATGTGTAACTAAGCACCTTGCAAGCATTGACTTTTATGTTTAAGACATTATGTTTAAAACCTGAAAACTCTCTCCTCTTTTGCTCCTACACTCAGATACATCAGCCCTATGGGCAGCACTAGAACATAACTTTGTGGCATGTGAAGCCAAACTTAATAGTTACTACGAATCTCAGAGAGAGTACCAGAATACAATTGCTAAATTTGTCAGGATTTGCATTATTTTCATTGCATTATGAGTTTAATGGAAGCCACAAGCATATCAGGTTCACAATTCCAGACAAGTCTAGTTTAACTGGAACTCCACCTCTGAACCATGAAGCAAGATACTGTAATTACAAAAAGTGTTGCAAAATTTTTTCAAATATTTATTGGGTGAACACATGCTGTGAGCCTCATGCTCCCACTACACAGCTCCAAAAGCAGCCATGTTCTGGGTTTATTCTGGCCAAAGATCTCATCTTCCATTTGCATCACACCACAGGAAGATGAAATGGTGTCATCACTTACATAATCCTGAAAGCCAGTGATAAGTGAGCTTGGTAACTATTCTGGTATGACTTTTCTTTAATGAAGAAAAAGAAAGTTGCCTTTAATGACATGGAACTTGGAGAAAATGGAGAAGCTCATTAAATCTAGGAGTCTCATTCTTCCTTCCCTAGTGAGGTCAACTTTTCCATCAAAATACTTTAATTCTTTTGTGGACATTTAAAACACATTTCAAAACTTTAAAACACATTTCAAATAGCGGCCAAAATCCAACAGAGTTTTTGTAATAACTCAATCCCATCATACTGTAGGGTAAATAATCACTTGACTTCAGGACTTCTAGGGCAAAATTTAGTTTTGTACCATGTCCTCTCAAACGTCTTGACCAGACTTTATTGCTGATGATAAGTCATATAGATGTTAGGTGTTTATAGTTTATTCCTATGGATTTAGAGTTTCACAAACTGGGGAAAGAGAATGCATCCCATAAGGTTTATTTAGAATAGGACAGTAGTTTTAACACAGATGAGAAGATACAGATGGCAGTTCTATAGGAAGCTATATGAAGATTAATAAAACTTAAGATGGTGATATATTCTAACAGCAAAAGACTTCTTAATTCTTAGCTTATAGTTACAATTTTACGTTTCGTGCCACCCCTCAAAAATTCTAAAATTGAGATTTTGCTTATGTAATTTTTTCGCCAGAACCTGGCAGCTGTGTTCACGGCTGGGTCGATTTAACTCATGATTCCTTCTAAAATTAACAAACGTAGTTACTCAGGAATCTCAGCAAACGAAATGCTTCTTTTGGTGCTTTTTGTAGACAGCATTGCTTTTCAGAAGTCCTTATTCTGCTACAAAACAACACACATTTCACAGAGGTGAGTACAGTACTAATTCGGACATCCCCGAACGCCCCGTAGTGAACCATGTGTTTGTCCAAGCTGCTGAGTGGGTTAGCTCCTCTTTTTCCCCTCCAGCTTGTGCTATGACAACCTTTTGCTTTTATTTTTCTTGCTGGCGTGACTGCTCAGGGCACAAATGCTCCTTTGCCAGGAGGATCCCCCCCGATCCTCCTGGCCGTTCAGCGCGGCGGGGCCGTGAGGAGCACGGAGAGCTCGTTCCGGCCGTGCGGGCTGCGCGCCCCCGCCGCGGGGACGCGGCTCCGTGAGGCGGGACGGGCGGCGGCGCCGCGCCTCCCGGGCACGCGGGACTCGGCTCTCGGTGAGAGGGACGCAGCCCCCGCCGAGCCGGGCAGCGCCGGGGGCGATGTTTCCCCTGTGGAAGGCCGTTCTCTCGGAGAGTCTCCTGGGTAGGTGGCGGCTGTGCCGCTCGACGGGGCCGGGGGCGAGGGGCCGCGGTTAAGGGCACCGGGGGGCTCAGCCGGGACCGGCCGTAGCAGGTTTCACGGGGCTCACCGTACGTGCAGGCTCTTGGATCAGCCTAGAATTTGTTGCTGCTCCCGGCCAAATGTTGGCGCAGGTGTTGCAGAGCCGGTGCTGTGCTGCTCAAGGCAGGGTGCCGAGGGTGGTCGCCAGAGCCGGCACCCGCGGTATCGTCTGCTCGGTGCATCTCCTGGAAACTCAGCGCAGTGCCGCTGTGCCTGGGTAAGGTGTCTCCAGGAGAGAACAGCACACCGATTTACTAGAATAATGCTTTTAGCCACCAGTCTGCCTTTGAGGAGCCCTGAGACTGTGAGTGGACTGCTTATTTAGCCAGCCCTCTGAACACCAATCCTTTCCAAAGTTGAGCACTTCACTGAGGTTCAAAGGAGGAACTGCTGTGTGAGTGAGGGAAGAGCTGTTTTATTCTCATCATTCTATTTCCTCGGAAAATGCGTTTGTTTAACTTGAAATAACAAACATTTCTTCACAGAAGGTGGCTGTTGTTGCTTGAACTGCTTTAAAATACATTTGATAGTCTATATGCGAAAGTACAAAATGGTACTTTTTAAGTAATCTCCAGGAAATCTTGTTGAAAATACATGATGGGGTTTTCTTTTCTTGGTTGGCTCTTGTTTTAGGCTACATTTCTTGGTCTCTTTACCATGCACTGCCACCGATGATCTACTACTTCCCACTTCAGACACTGGCACTCACAGGCCTGGAAGCTTTTGCTGTTGCCTTCCTTTCCCCGATATTCTTGACATTTGGCCCCTTTTGGAGGCTGGCTAACAATAAGTATGTGTTAGCCTTTCTGAGATTGACTATGGTTGGTAAGTACACACTGTGGTGAGTTACAGATTCCATTTTGGTATCAGTGTATAAGAATAAACATTCCAAATTGCCTTAAAATTCAGAGGATTACAAAAAGATACAGGAAAAAGAAGTTCTTGCTCTCCCCATACTCATGTTTTGTTGGTTTCTTTTTTTTTCTCTTAAGCTTTTAGCTATGGTCAGAGAAATACTGTTTGCAGCCATTGTATTATATTAATACAGAACAAAATCTTTACATTTATTGCTAGGAGCTTTTAATTTAGTGTGAGTGATGCTCAGCTGGAGAGGTGTTTTCAGTATCACTCAAATATTAGCAGAGCAGGTGTTTTTTTGTATTGTGACAACGGGTAGGGATGAGCCATTATAGAACAGCTTGGGGCTATTATAAAAACAGTCTTCTATGACTGAAACATTATTTTTTAATTTCTGAGGCAGTTTTTTCTTCCAAGAATGTATTTTTAAAATTAAATCTATCTATCTACATGCCTGTAGGGGGGTTATAGGCTCATCCTAAATATGAAATAACCCTCATATGGTTAGTTGCACAGGATGAAAATTTGATCTTAAACTCAGGAAACAGATGCCCCATTGCCTATTCCACAGGCTCCTCCTTAAACCAAGACCTGCTGGGATTCCCACTTTAATCTTTAGCTAACTGGTGTAAATCTTAGCTCTTGTTGATTTTTAGAAATTTTTTTAGGGAAGGTTTGGCAGGTACAGCCACATTCAGAAGCAAGTTATTGCTAAAGAGTTTGCCACACCGGATGAACTCAGAGGAGACAAGGGTCTCCATCGTGTGTAGAGGTGAAAATGCTGCTGCTGAGTGATGTGTTTCAGAAGCAGCAGATCCTAGCTTCTTATTTGTCAATATAAGATAGACAGATAATCACTTTCCTTATAGTTTTCCTCTTTTACTGTTAGAAGACAGAGTAAGAGCATCTTATTTACTTTCCCTGTGTAGTTTTTCTAAAAAGAATTCTTGTTCTTTATCTCTAGAAAAATACTAGAGCTAAACACAGTTTATTGGTGTCATTGATTTTCATGAAGAATAGTGTTACCATGTTCTTTCCTTTTCCTACTCTTCCCATTATATCCATTGTAATACTTTTCTTGCTGTTTTGTAATAAGCTTCTCAGTGAGCAGAATCTTCAGCTTCTTGCAGCAGTGCATAGTGCGGTGCTTTCTGCAAGATCTCCTAGTCTAGAAACTAGGAGTGAGTGTAAGCATTTAAAATTGCACCTTACCTTCCTTCAGATGTGACAGTAACACAAAATTTACCACGTTTATTTAAGATTAGTCCTTCAGATCACCTTGCTGTGTTTAGTTCACTTTACCAAAAGATCTCTTTTGGAAGAGATGAAAAAAGTGTGTAATTTTTATTCTGCTAAATAAAGAGCAATGACAGGCCTATGTTGGTCTTTTATGTTAGTTCTGTCCCATCATACTGTGCTGCTGATTCTCCAGTTTCTCAGTTCTTCCTGCTTTTTTCCTCCTTCATGCTGAGACAATTTTATTAATTCTCTTTTTGATCTTTTTTCCTTCTCAAAAAGGCCATGGTCTTCCTCTGGGTCTTGTTGAACTGTCAGGCAGAACAAACTTCTTAGCAGTCTTCAATTTCACAATAAAAAAATAAAAAAAAAATCTTCATGCTTAGCTAAGACCAGATATTTATGGGGATGATTTTTTTTTTTCTCTTCTGTTTCTTTCTGTTTCTTTCTGTTGCCTTTTCAGGAAGCTTTATTTTCCCTGCAATTTCTAATTTCTGTATCCTTTTGTACTACTTGATTTTGTGTTCCATTCAAAAACAAACAAGAACAAAGTACCCTGTGGAAGTGTCTATTTGCATCTGTGTCTTCAGACAACCTACGTTAAATTTGGGTATTTGGATAGATATATTTAAGTCTTGGGTGTACTTGCACAGCAACAAAAGGTGTGTCTGCTCTAACTTGGCAAACCCATGCTACCTTTAATCAGGATAGCGCACATGATGAAATATTTGAAGAGGCAGGTTTATGGATTGCCAGCACAATTTCATGACAGCAATCTGTGTGTACTGTACATGAAACCTCTGTTGAAGTCCATGCAAGTACACCTTTACTGCACATTGATCTTGTTTATCATCTTGGCTCTAAGCTTTGCATCTTTTACTCTGAGCAGAATGAGCAGATAAACAGTTGGAGGATTCCTAGCATGTGTTGCCAGAATCTGCAGCTCCATTTCTGACATTACTTGCTTAACATCTCTTCAAGTTTGACTCATACTCACTTAGCAAATGGCTGGTATCAAAACAATGTTGCTGCTTCTCCTGTTGTTTGTCATTGGTCCTGGGCCAGAAATTCTGGGCCAGAATTTTCCACATTGACTGAAGTTACGAGAATATATGTGGTCCATAGTCTCTTGCATTGGAAACCTGGTAGCAGAGTTTAAAACTATTGGTAATGCGGGGTCACTGTGCCCTGGGTAATGGCAAAGATGTGTGCACGTGCTCTCTTTCAGTGGCTGGGACAGTGGTAGTTTTCAGTAATGAAATGGTGTAGGCTGGTAGTGACCACTTCTGAGACCAGATACTGAGGCAGAGAAAGCCTTGTTCACGCCTACTGAGGCAGTTGATTACTAATCCCTGTGCTGTGTGTGGTGACTGCTCCTGTCTAATAAAGAAAGTGGCTTTGGCCATAGTGTACTTATTTTATAAGTGCGCTGTGGCAAAAACCATATCCTTTTTAGAAAGGAGCAGTCACAGTCCATAAAACTGTATGGCTTTTGATTTAGATATCTAAGTTCATAGTTGAGGAATATCTGTATGCTTAGACATTTTATCCTTATATCTTCTCTATGGCTCAATCACCCTAAGTACTTAAATGAAGGCAATCACTTGGATTGTTGGATAATTGCTTCATATAAATTTTTTCCTTGAAAATCATAACTGCTATGAAGTCACGTATACCCAGTTTCTGTGTATATCTACAATTCTTTGGTTTGTTTAAAAATGTGTAGTGTCATGTGTTTTCAGATAAGTGGTATAGCCATTCAAATTACAGACAGTGTTGAACTAATGCACAGGAAATCCTTATTACCCAGTCTGTCTTGATCATTAAAGTAGCCTCTGTGTGTGTGTATTTGTTTGTAGGAAGCTTAGCATCATACCATGCACCAAATGCTTCAATTAGACTACTCATCTTGGCTGCTGGTGTTTCTTCTTCATTGCTGGTTCAAACAGTAACATGGTGGTCAGGAAACAGTTTACAAAGGTATTTTCTTATACTGATAGAATTTAACTGATGTTTCTTTATATGAAAAGCTGTTTTCTTTTTTTTTTTTTTTTAACCCCCAAATGCCTCACTATTTCAAAAACTGATTCTTACAGGTTCATCAGGATATGGGGCTTCATGCTAGGCAAGATAATGCTCCTTGTTCTTCGTATTTGGTACACATCACTTAATCCAGTCTGGAGCTCACGAGTTGCCAATACTGTCATACTGACAGTTGGTTTTGTAGTAGCAGTGGAGCAAATTCATTCAGGTAAGCATACTACAGCAAAGATGGTGGTTATGAAAAGAACCTAAAGTATACCTAGCTATGTGTCACTGGGTTTTGATTCTTTGACTTTTTTTCCCCCAACACGGTTTGGTTTTAGACCTGCTGTATGAGCATTGCAGACTTTAGATATCGTGGGGTACTTCCCTCTGCCCATAATATGGCAGAACTGGTATCGCAATTCATACAAGCTGCAGTAAGTTGATGCTGGAACTGCCTCTTTTTCCTTACTGCAGTGTCAACAATACGACAGTAACACAAACAAAGGCATAAGATAGGCCAATAAAACTAGAATGGATTATTGTCTTTCCAGCATGAAACATGTGTGGTGTTTTTGTTATGTTAATTCAGTTTGCACTTTGAGTTTCTTTGCCAGTGTGTTTCTTTTAACAGAGAAGGGGAGACAAGACAAAATTGGAGAACAGCTGATATGTGAAAACAAACAGAAAGAATTGGAGGAATGGACGAGTTGTCCCAATTAAACTTTGCTCAAGTTCTTGGTGTGTTTGCACAGAGTACTCAGCAGTGGGGACTGGCACAGGCTAAACTGTGGAGGTAGTATTGCAAAGGAAGACAGCAAGGTTGGGTTGGTTAGTTAAGGCAGCTCATGTTAAATCCTCAGAATCTTCTTCCTTCTCAGTATAACCTTAATGAATTAATTGAAAGATAAAACCTTATCTATGTGTAAGTAGGTATAAATTAGCATCATGCATATTATTTGTAAGCTTGCATTACATGATCTAAATTAAGCCTGAGCTTTCATCAGAATTTAGAAAGGGAATCTAAAGGAGATTAGGAAGGAAATCTGTCTTGTTTGTGGGTGACAAAATTATATGTCTGTGCAATTAAAGGTACTGCTTTCTCCTTAGATGAGAGTGGTTCTAAAGCATGTGGAAAAAAGGAGAAGGAAGGGAGTTTATTTCTGGCTTATTTGGAAGTGTCAGGTTTTGCTCTTATCAGAGTTTAGAATTTCAGAGAACAGAAGCCTCTGAACAAATTCTAATAACTTTTCTGCTGATTTTCAAAGCCAGTTTAAATATTTAAATTCCAGTAATGTGGAAAATAATCAGACGCGCAGGTTGGCATTTTTGACCACTTATGGTGACTATATTTTCTTGACAGACCCAGGTTGTTAGTAAAGATTTTAAATTTTTGGGGGGTTATCAGTTTCTGATAAGACAATCCTAATTAGATGAATTAGCTTTTGTGCATGTAATTTATTCTAGTAAATTTGTGATTTTGGCTGTTTCTTTTTCTCAGTAATATGAGATTGCTAATAGGATTTGACATTTTGCTTAGCTGCATTTCTATTCTTATTCCAGGTAGAGACAAGAGGAAACAAGAAACAAACAAAACTAGTAATGTGGTTAGAGAGACTGCTTCCCATCCTCATTGGTTTTTATCAGGGATTGCTTTTGGCAGCCTCATGTTCCTCACTCTGTGGATATTTGGGGAGGTATCATTAATTTCTAGATGGGCAGTAAGTGGACATCCACATACAGGTCCAGATCCTAATCCATATGGGTAAGTGCATTACTATTACTATTACTATTGTTATTGTTATTATTAATGTTATTATTATTATTGTTGTTATTATTATTATTATTATTAATACTACTACTATTACTACTACTACTACTACTACTACTACTACTACTACTACTACTACTACTACTACAAAATTGTAATCAAAATCCAGTGCTGTAGTGGGTGACAAATTAAAACTCAACCTGATGGTGGTATAAGAATTTAGACAGAAAAAAGTGGGCACAAGGTACTTCACACAGAGGATTCATTCTTCCTTTGAGATATCTCTGAGCATTTTGTGCAGACCTTAAAATTTTCTGATTATTCTGAATTATTTTTATTTCAGGACTAAAATCTTGGTTTGCCACATTTCAAAACAATGTTTAGATTTAGGACTGAGGTTCAAGGACTTATGAATACAGTGCATCTATAATATGCAGTAAATTAGTCTAGTAGTTGGCTTCAGAGAGGAGATGATCAGAGATGCATGCACAAAATATAAAGTAAACTGTGTGCAATATTAAAAGATATACTTCAGCAGAATTTTTGATTAATAAGAATTTGGTCTTAATGCTGTGTGCAGTTCATTCAGGTTCCAAAACCTAGAAAGAGACCAGATTAGTTATTTGGAGTCAACAACATGTGATGGCAGGTGACAGAGTTTATAATCTGGAATTGGTATACAAAAGAGCTCCCCAAGACTAAGACCAGTGTTAGATACTGTAGGAGTCCTTATTTAACATGAAGAAAATAATTCTGTTTGGGGTGGACTCTTCCTTCTCATTTTCTGAGTTTTTTTGCCTTTTGTACCAAGATTTCAGTGGACTGCTGTTTCTCCTGAACACAACTCAGTTATACATTACAGTAAATTGCCATTATTTTCAACTGGATGTTTTTTTACATCAAATAAAGGGAAGAAAATGTAGCTGAGTGTGAGCAAAATTTAGCTTTGTTTAAAGAATTATATTACCAAGGACCCTCGTCTGTATATCTAGAAGTTTCTTTTTCAATGTCTGGTGTTTTTAAAATCTTATTAGTGCATGTTTTCTTTTTCCTTATTGTTGTTTCAGAGGTACAGTTCTGTTGGGCCTTGCTCATGGACTGATGCTTTCATTTTGGAGCTGGTCTTCTGTCATCAGTTTTGCCTTGTTTCTCATAGGTAGGTGCAAATACTGAGCAGAATTTTTGTCTGTTACCTTATTGCCTTTACTCAAGTACTCTGACCTGACTCCACATCTCAGAAGAGTGTGGCTAATCAAAGCCTCCTTTTCTCTTGCCACTGACAGTACTACACATATGTCTGACCAGTTGACTAAGGGTTACAGGCCAAATCTCCAGACCATTGCAGAGCAGTGTTATTGTCTTCAGAAGCCCTGTTAAGGTTCTGTTCCCTTGAGAGCATCTCAGTTCTGACCATCTGCATTGTTTAACAGTTGGACTTGATGATCTTAGAGGTCTTTTCCAACCTTAGTGATTCTATGATAAGGCCACATCTAAGGTTATAGGGTTGAGATGTTTCAAATGCTCTCAAAATTCCACAGGAGGCAAAATAGCTTGTAATTTAACAGGCAGTCTACCTGGGGACAAACTTGCCTCTTGTCTCTTTATTTGACAAGTTCTGCAGGCAGTAAAATAGTATGAACAGGCAGGTTTTAGTGTTAAGAAATGTGTGTGCAGATTGTAATGTAAGCATGAACATTTGATTTTTGATGTTCACACATTGCTTATTTAAAACAAGCACAGAAAGGTGATTCAAGCATTGTATTCTAAAATGCTCAGAACCTTGATGTATAAGAGTTAAATATTAAAAATGTTTCTATACATTTGCTTTCATGGTGTGACAGTAAATATTTGTACTTACGATAATGTTTTAAAATAAAGTTGTCCTCTTATAGAGCGGTTCTGTGGTTGTTAATGTTCTGTTTAGGGTCAAATCACCATATCAAAGATAGCATGGTAAGTCAAGGATCTTGCAGTTAGTAAAAGATTAATAGTTGCTTTCTTGCCTGTCCTATTGTTATCTATAGGGAAATATCAGGAAAATATAGGTTTTCTCTTCATATTAATCTATTTGATTCTTTCTGTGTTATGGTAAAAGATTCATAATTGACAGACCTATTACTCTCTTAAGAGCTGCATAATTCCTCTGTTGTGCTCATGAACTCTGTAAGAAAAACTGTTCAATTTTGGCTCTTGATGATGCTTCTCTGCCCTCTTTTTGCTGTACTGTTTTCAGCTGAATAGGCAATGTATAAAAGAATGAGATACTGGGAAAAATAAAAGACTACCTTTGGCTACTGTGAATAGCTGTCCTCCTAGAGATGTAGTTTTCATATCTGGAAAGTGAAATATTTCCCAGACTCTATTTTTTTGCTAGTCAGAATATGAAAATGAATGTGGTGGATAATATATCTGACTGAGACTTACTATATTCTATTCTATCCCTTCACAGGTTTGGCATCTTCAGCTGGTCTCCTTTATTTACATACCTGGAGTGCTGCTGTTGCAGGCAACATTCTTGGTATCTTTACTATGTGTGTGTGGCCTCAACTAGCTGGACGCTTTGTTAGCTGTCTGCATCCTGGGAAAGCCATGAGTACAGCCATGTTTGCCTATGTTCTTGAATTATTCTTCTGTGTATGGTGTACAGCTTACAAATTTGTGCCTGGAGGAGTTTACATTAGAGAAAGCTCCCATCTTCTTCTAGGTACATCTGTGATAATCAACAAATACAAATATGCATGCTTAAGCCTCAGGCAGACATGTGAAATGTATCTAGTGTATGAAGAGTCTTTTCAAATGCTCAGTTACTGTTTACTTACTGTGGTAAGAGTTTCAGTGCAAAAATTAATGAGACATGCAAAAAATAATCTACTTGTTTCTTCTTGAATTCAGTTAAGGGAAAATGACAAAGTAGAAAAATGTCTGATGACTAAAGTACGCAGTGGAGGAAGAGATGTGTTAATCAGTCACCCTAAAAGTATGGCTGCAATCCAGGGTGTGAATGCACAAATATGCTGGCTACCTAAGGCAGCAGTGCCTCAGGTAACAGGGTAGCTACTGGGACTGTATTGTAATTCAGTGCATTATTTAGCCCTGCTCTGCAGAGCAAAGTGCAGCATCCTGCTGATCTAGCTAGTCTGCATTGGAGACCTGAGCTTCTTTCCCGTGTGGCTCCACCTTATGTTTTTTGAACACACCAGTATGTTTGGGGGAATTCAGATGAGCCTGTAGTGTCAGAAGCACATGAACAGGACAGGCAGAAAATAAATTGTCAGGTATTTGCAAATAAGGAAGAACTGAGTTGAGCAAATACAAAGGCTTTAGCAGAATGATCACTTGATGAGGGTGGAGAGGGTGGAAAGGAAACCAACCCTTCCTGGTTCTGTCTCCAGAAGTATTTTTGTGATAGGCACTAACATGTTTCAATGGCATATTTCACTAACTATATTTAAACAATGCCAAGCATTGTCTTGGGCTAATTGTGTGGGACATTTTTTAAATGTGATGCATTAGCCTATATTTTATTTGGAAAGAATTAATGAATGCTGTGCTTAACCTGTTGCTCCAAAGGTTTCAGATTTCATAAATGCCAGTAACCACTTTGTATCACTCCAGTTTCTAACTCTCCATGTGTGCTTCTTATATTCCAGCATTCACATGAGGGATTTGATTTCATTAAGTTTTGAGGAGAATTTCGTTCCATTACTGCATTATTTTCTTTGTTCTGAAAGCATTCTGAGTAGTCTCTAGAAGCAGTTATCTTAATTAGTTAAATTAATTTTTTTTAAGTTACATGAAGAAAGCAATAGAGGAGTGTCAAATGCTTTCTTGAGTAATGCTTTCACAAAAGAAATACTTTTATTCAAAATTCCTCTCTGGTACTTCTGTTGAAATTCACACTTGTGATTAATTTGCCTGGCATGATCATTGGGTAGTAACAGAGAGGTGGCCCTAATTTTCTCTTTGGTAAAGAAAACTGTAAATGTAACACATCTCAGCTGATGGCATTACATGAGTTTAAATTCCATCTGAGAATCCAGTTTCTATCTTTTTTTGATGCCACCCCATAGCTCATCAGAGATTATACCATGAGATTTTGTATTTGTTGTTGTGCTTTTACCCTTAGAGCTTCACTTTCTGGCAAACTGCTGGTTTTCTTCTGGTTTCTTCCAGGTGCAAGTGCTATTTCTTGCTTTCTTCTGTCCAATATCCTGCCTTTCTCTTGCTGCAGTTTGGGTAGGGAACTACCAGGAAAACCAGGAAAAGTGACAATGAAAGTAAGATCATTATATTCAGAACTTCTCTGCTGCTTCGCTGTGATGTGATACAATGCTGAGGGGTTAGATTCCTGATCTTCATCCACTTTAATGGATATGAATCAGTCACCCTTTGAGAAAGGTTTTGTGCATGCCCCTTCATTGTGCTAGGCCCAGTGTCTGTGTTTGCAAACTTTCACTACAACTAATGTAACAAGTAAGGGAAATAAATACTGAGTAATAGTTAAGTATTACTCTGAAGTAAAATATGGCTTCTATAATTAATTAACTATGCCACAAAGATATTAAGGGAATATATCTTCTCCAGCAGAGCTCTTATCTAGTTCATTATCCTCCCATGCTTTCTTTGAAAGTAATTGGATTCTTTATCTCATTAGGGATTGGAAAAGACCTTGTACTGTTAGTTTGAGCTACTTATTGCAAAGATACCGTCCCTACACATTGCAACAGTTAACAGACTGAAGTTGCTTGCTAGCTTTTAAAATGTATCTGTAGGTATGTTTAATTTTTTATTCTTAAAAAGTAGAACTAATTCTTTTGGCTCTGGAGCTCCAGAATAAAAGTTGCTGCCATGTTAAATTGACCTTCCAACCTGCTGCTGTTTTATAACAAAGTGTTGAGCAATTGCTTTTGTAGTTCCTATTTGAAAAATGTGTTCCTTGTATCTTGTGACAGAGCAGTTCATTGTCAAAGATAATAAATATGTGAAATCATCAATGTACTATTTTTCATCAAGCTGTTATTTTAAGGTTCAATAATATGTAGGTGTAACTCAATCGTACTTGTCCAGGTTAATTTCAGTAAACTTTGAAAACAGTGGGCCCAGCTGAAGAGTTGTAGCCATCAGTAGGACCTGGAAGAATTTTAGCATAATTTTTCTTCTATGTATTAGCCTTTTTGAAATAATATCCTGGAGCTGTACTGCAAATCAGTCTTTACTTGAGATACTTGTCAGTAAATGTCATAGCTCCTGCATTGCCTCAGTACGTATGGGATTTATCTGCATTTTGCTTTGAATCATCTTTGTTGTTGGAACCATAAGGTTGTTGTGCTGCAACGCAACAGCTGGGAGTTTATAAAATACATGTTTATGAGCAACGTTTAATATGTTAAAAGTCTATGAAAAAATGAATTACTTATATTTTTACAGGTTTTATAATGCTATGTATTGGAGTAGGCTTTCTAACAGGACCCAAGAAAGACCTTAGCTCTGTCTTTGAAGTGAAAAGCAATCAAAAACCATTCTTCAAAAGGAGTAAAAAGTATATTAAACTATGTAAGTATAATTTTAGTTGCTTTTCTCATGACTCTAAGAATACTGTCTGAGGAAAAAAAGACAAAACGCTGTAGAATATTTTCTGAGATGTTTTAGAAATTATTTTTTTGGTACTAGTTTGAGACAGACTGGTAGTTGGTATTTCCCTAGTTCCAGGTTAATGATGACATGTACTATTGGAGGAGCTGACTCACTGTGATTATGACTGACAGAGGCTACTCCTAATGGAATGTGTTAAACAGAGACAAGAAACTGGGCAAAAACCAAAATGTGAAAATGAATCCAGCATCATTTGTGGTTTCATTTTAGTGGCTGAGGAGGAGGCCTCTCTGGATCTTGGCATTACATTGTGTGTACAAAAGATATGAATGATTTCCCAGCCATTCGGTATGGCAGTCTTGAAGCGGTGCAGTGTGACAGCACAGATTTTCAGATTGTGTGTATGGGGTCTGCTTTTTTCCATAGGTTTTTAAGAGAAATGAAAATCAAATGTTTGAAGTTTTATCACTTTTTGGCTTTTAAACCAGACAAATATTTTCAACCATTTCTCTACAATCATTTGAATTCCTGATTTGTTTTCACTGTCAGCTTACTGTTTCTAAAGAAGAATGTCTATCTATAGTGTGAAGTTTGGTAGAGGAATAAAATGCTAGGCATGAGGGCATGGTAACCCTACAGAGATCAGGATGCTGAAGATTCCAATTCCTGCATCCTTTCTTCTGTAACTTTGGAGCAAATCGCTTGCCATTTGTGTACATTTTGCTGTATTTGGGAAAAGGAGACAGTAGTGCTTCACAGTTTTTCAGGGCTGTTTCTGGAATCTTTATGGAGGTCTTTATCCTGTATACTCAGGTGCCAAAAGAATGTGGCCTGTGAGAGTTTGTGTGTCAGAGACAACATGAGCACCATTTCAAGTGGTTTGAATATTACTGCTAAGAAACATTTCACAAAAGTAAATTCATATTTAAAAATACTACCAGTCACGAAGTACAGCCTTTGCTCAGCTAATATTGCAATGTTGCAGCAGTACCTCTTGTACTTCCTCATCATGCCCAGACTTGTACTGTTTCTCAGCTTCCATTCTAAGAACCTTTGTGTCTTGCAGAGTAAGAAATTGCTTGACATGTGCTAATATAAGCAGCATGTCTTTCTTTCTGACATTACATTACAATACATTAAATGTATTGTTTGTATTAAATTTTACCCAAAACAATTCCAGAAAACTTGCCTTAAAATAGTTCCATGTCTTTTTAAATACATGAAAGAACAAACTGGAGTTACTAAAATCGTTATAGATAGCATATGCCACTGTGTAAATGGAGTAACTGCAGAGGGCTTTGATCATCAAATTACATTGTGCTGAATGGTGAGAGCTTCTAGGTGCACACTGTGGTTGTTTGTAATGCTACAGGAGCAATTAGAAAGCTCTGAATATGCTTTCTATGAAGCTGCACTTGTCTTTCCAAGAGTATGTCAAACAAATGACCACTCTGTAAGTCTGGCAAGAGTCACATCTTTCTGACATCTAAAGGCTTGCAAAGTAAACTAAAATTTATTCCACACATTGTATTAATACAAGACAAAAATTGTGCGCTACAAATGCATACTTGCACACAGAGAGGAAAACACTGAAGGGTTTTCCCTTCATGCTCTAATTCATGTCCTATAATGAATTATTTGGTAGGAGTAATTTTTACGTAACTATTCCAAGGAGTTTTGGTACCTTTTATCTGCTCAGCATGTTGTGTTTTAGAGAGTGTACTTGTACACACGTGCATATTCTGCATGCATAGATACTGCCTTGATCTGGTCTTGTCATTTAAACTGACACATTTCTTATTCTGTGAATAGCACTCCTTAGAATAACAATGTCCTGTTTAACAGCAATAATAACATTATTTTTCTCGAATTAAAAACATTTTTTTGGTGTTTTTCTATTTCAAGTATTGTGGCTGTTTGTTGGTGTTGGTTTGCTTGGATTGGGTTTACGTTATAAAACTTACCAGAAGAAGCTGGGCCAAGGGGTGAGTAGGGTGCTTGGAGAATGGTAACTTTCAAATATACAGTAAAATGTGTGTGTGATAGCTTATGTATGTTAGTTGTTGCTAAAGAAATCTTTGTAACCAAGTATTCAGATAAACTAATGCAGAAATGAAAATGCAAAAATTTAATTTATAAATTCATGTCAAATTGAAATGTCTGGGTCTTTGAAGATTTATAGTGATCCTATGAAGGAAAAATATTTTGAAAATTTGAGAGATTCTTGTCTCATATGTTCAATTTGAACATTACTTTTATAAATCAGTTTCTTTCAACTCTATGCAAACTGGACAATGCTGTTAGCAGGCTGATCTCATGTAGGGGGAGTTTGAACAGATAACTTCCTGAGATTTCTTCCAGATTAAGGAATTCTGTGATTCTCTATTATATCATAATTCTGAATTGAAGCTGCCTGAAAAGTTGGTTGACATAGATTAGACTTAGACTAGGTATGGAAATTGGATAAAAATTTGAAGATTCCAGTTTTCTGTCTTGCAAGAAAATAGGTATTGCAAAGGTAATAAATAACAAGATGGTTAACACTCATGGAGTTCCATGTTAGATTCACAAATGCACACAGATTTATATGGTTGGCCTTTTTGCAATTAATTCAAGTTTGTAGTACCTTGTGTGGCAAAATGTGGTCAACTTACTAAGCTCCTCTTCATAAGATAAAAAAAATGCATTGTCTCTTTCCTCTTCATTTATTTACTGTAATTTGTACAACTTCATTTTAAGTATTATGACTTTTATTCCCTTGTTAATAGCAGATTTAGTTTTTTGTAATTCTTTACAGCTTTATTAGGAAAATACATTGGATAAACCATCTCTTCTTGTATTTCTCTTACGGCACCATGTGTCTGGTGTTGTTTACTGCAAAGCTATAATATGTAAAATTTGAATTTTATTTTACTTTTTTCCATTTATTTTTTGAGGTTCCAAAAAGAGATTTCTCTGCTATGATCTGGCCTTTTAGGTTTGGATATGACAATGAAGGATGGTCTAATTTGGAAGGATCAGCTAATCTGCTTAATCAGACAGGTAACTCTTTTTTTCCCTACTTCATTTATATTTTGGAGGATTCATCTGAAGAGACAAAAGTGAAAACACCTGCTTGGTAACTGAGGCCATTTTTGCATTAACACAAGAACCTGTGTTTAGTTGTTTTCTCCTCAATTTGTGAACTGTTCCAGTACAGTCACTTCAGTCAAAAATCCATTTGCAGAGGTGATAATTTGTTTATATGTTTTAAAGAGGCTTCTGGTCAGAGGAAACATTTTATTTCCTATGTGGATTTTTCTTCTCATGTTGCTGATGAGTTACTTGTCTGTAGAGAAATTCTTTGCATAAATGAAATAATATCCTTTTAGATAGAATACAATGGTATTTACAAAGGTAAATATACTTTTAGATCAAATGCAATGTTTTATAACTTCTCTGTGTCTTTTTTTTTGGTGTGAAGCATTATGTAATTCCTAAAGGGTGTGAAATTCAAATGCCATAAACAATGAATGCAGAGAAGAAACAGACAAGTCTGTTTCCATCACTGAACCAGAGCAATGTATAAAAGAAAAGTAGTGATTGCAGCTTGGTTGTCATGATTTCATTATTTTATTGTAAAGAAGAGTGTCTAAACTGTTGCTCATGGGCAGGATTTTGGTTGGAAAACTAGCTATAGGAGATAAAGAATTTGGACTCAAGATGAGTGCCATTGCAGAGGGCATTGAAAGGGATTGGCCAATAGTGCTTGTAGGTGTTACTTTTTTCCTGCGTTACCCATGAGATAGGGTAGATAGGGGACTGACAGTTTTAAGATCTAAAGCAGTTCAGGGAGTTAGGAAATGTCCATGCTGCAATTCCAGCATTTGTTGTTCTCCAGTCCACCATGGGATTTTCCTGAGCAGCTCAGGCTTTACAAACCCAAGCAATGAAAAGGCACTGAGAGGTGCTCCTGTGCAAGTCTTGATTTTGTGGCATATGTACACAGGAATTAGTGAAGAGTGAAGAGGGTGATTTTAATCCCGTTCCCTTTATTGTCCCATGACCAAAGGTCCAGAGAGCTGTGCTATGTTGGCTGTCTGGTGATACGAGAAAACAGCCAGCACATTTAATTAATTGAAATTTGGAGTATTCTTCTACATAAGTGATTCCATAGTTCATGTCTGGGTGGTTATTTAATCTTTGCAGATTTATTTATGAATTTTAAAGAATGCATTCATTTCTGCTACCTATAGTTCAAATTAATGAATATTAGGAAAAGTGATTACCTGGTTATGTCCATTGTCATTTCTTAAGGGTAATGAAATATCACTTCTGAAAAAGACAATTGGTAAGTCAAAAAGGCAGCAAAATCCAAAATATAAGTTAATAAATCATAATTTCTGATAGGTGGAAATGGTATTCTAAAGTTTTATGTTACATGTATATTATTATATAAAATACTACATTAACGTTATCAGTAAATGCATTCAGAGTTTGGTAAGAAATTCCTATAGGAAGAATTCCTGATTTTGACAGCCATAGAGAAAAGAGTGGCTATCTGCTTTAGGATAGGGGTTGTCTTTAAAGGTGTGGTGGTGTGCATTCCTTGCACACCTCTTTTTTTGTATAGCGAAGATGCAACATGTAATGGTTTTTGTGACTGGAATTTCTGTTTGCCCTGGAGGAATCTTACCTCAACCTTTCTTAATGGTTTCACTTACTGTTTCTGTGATCAGCATGTATGCTAATGATAGAGAAGGAAAATCCTGGGAATCCACTTAAGAAGTCTGAGCTCCTATTTTCCATGATGACAGTGCTTTACACTGCTGTGTAAGATATTTCAAAAGCAGAAAAATCTTCTGTGGTGCTGGATGGTCATAAGCCCTTATGAAAGGGCTGTGGATGAAGCGGTGACTCAATTTGCCTTCCTGTGTAGAAGAGCACTCTAAAAGGGGCACAATTGCAGCAAGAAGGGAGCATTTAGAGCACTTGCTGCTGCTGCAGCTGTACTGACTGGCTGCTCAAGCTGAGTCTGAATGGTTCAGCCATCCTGTCGGCAGCTTGCAGACTCCCACCTTCCTTCAGCATGGGCAGGTGTTTCTTAGATACCAGTTCCTCAAGGGAACTGTATCCTGGAGTTAAAATATAGGGGAACCCATTATGTTCCCCTGGCAAAACCACACATCTGCAGTAAACAGGGAGGGACCACAGTGCTATGGGAAAGTGAGGTGGCTGCAGATGGTCAGCAATTCACTGGAGCTGCGAACCCTCATGTTACCATGTCTTGAAGCTACTTACTTGAAGCTAGTTACCATGTCTTGAAGCTGTTGCAAGGTTGCTCTGGGCTGAATAATTATTTTGGCAACAGCATCTAGCTGTGTCTTGCACAGGACTCTTAGAAGCACAATAGGATTTGGTAGATGAAGGGAAGTGCAGATGTGCTATGTAGTGTTTGTTCATCAAGTTGAAAGCAGTAGGCTTACTATTGTGCTGTTAATTTGTGTGTGCATAGTATCTCTAATGTTTTAGAAGTGGCACAAGGTCTGCTGAGGCCAGCTGTATTCTGCAGTCGCACATATCTCTGGTTATGCACAAGGGATCAGCCATGGCAAGCAGAGTTCATGCAAAGTGCATCTTCATCAGAGTTTGAGTGGCCTGCAGTAGCCAAAAATTTGGGCATGACTTTGTTGCCAACATTTATTTACCTTGACTGACCCCTGAAGGGCTTGTGTCCATCCTTCTGTAATCAAAAGGGAAATAATGACATTAGGTAGCTATTTGTAAGTCCCATTTCTAGGTAACCGTTATAAATGTGAAAATATTTTCTTTTTTTCCCTCCCATCTTAGAAGCAGATTTTATCACTATTATAGAGAGTGATGCCTCTAAACCATTCATTGGAAACCATGATCCAACAATGTGGCTAGGAGAAAGACTGGGATTTTATACAGACTTTGGTCCAAGCACAAGAGATCACACTTGGGGGTGAGTCATCTTTACATCCACAGTGACAGTAAATAGATGTAAATATATTGCCCAATACAAACTGCACTAATACAGAAGGAAAGAGTAGTTGGAATAGTAATCACTGTAATCACTTGTTGAAGCTTGTCCTTTAGGAACAGGCTTTGATTCGTTAGCATTACTATGCAATGTGGATGGAGTTTTCTCAGTACTAAACATGACCAGATTTTGGTGCCTGCCCTCATAAGCTACTTCAGTTTTGGTGGTGCAGAGAATGGCATCCTGCCCTTTAATGTACAGATCTGTAAGTTTAGCATTCCAAGGGCTGTATCTGATGCCTTTTTCACATTATTTTGTTTTGGGCTATGAGAATTTTATATTTCAGACTTAAAAATACGATAGCAGTTGGAAAATGTAGTGCATCAGGAGGTATGAAAAATTTTGAATTTATTAAATCTAGTTTGGGCTGTATAATGGGAAATGGGAATAGAAAGGTGCATGTCTGTTTGACCAGGTATTTTGTATCTAATTTTACCTTAATGTTTGACCAGCTACCAGTTGCCTGTCTTTAAATATCTTTGTCCTGTGGAAAAATACTGGCATATAATATGGTTTTTTTTTCTTTTTTTTAAGGGGGATATACACATCTGTATGGCAGATGGAACTTTGAACTAATGTTGCAATGGCTATTTAATTTTTGCCATATGTGAGGGACATTTAGTAACTTTCTTCTTCCAGACTCTGTCTATTTGAGTCAGAATAGGGCAGAGAAGTTACTCTCTGAGATTTTATTAATGAAATACCATGAAAAACCTGATGCAAAATGTCCAAACAGAAGCTGAAAAAATACAAATCTTCCATTTTAGAGGTGCATTTCTATATACTTCCGCTTTTAATAAAACACCTTTTAATTTCTGGTAGTATAAAATTTTGTTTTGTCTGAAATACAGATCATGAAAAGCTCAGTGAAAGAACATATTTATGGAATGATATTCTTAGGGTAGGAATTAACTTGATAATATATTTTTAGACATGTAGTTAAGCAGTATTTTAGAGTGAAGCTTTCTATATTCAGAAAAATCCACTAGAGATAGTTTGTATTCTGCTTTTTAGTTTTTTTCAGTGACTGTTCATCTTCTGCTCACATTTATCATCTTGGTTTACACCTTTGATGCTTGTGAATCACAAAATGTAACTCTTTGCCTCCCCTCATGTAGGATTATGGCACTATCCAGGTATCCAATTCTAAAATCGACCCATCACCTCCTTCCGTCTCCAGAGGGAGAGATTGCACCTGCCATCGCCCTGACTGTCAACTTCACAGGGAAGCTGGTTGATTTTGTTGTCGCTCACTTCGGAAATGAAGAGTGCGTATTTTACTTATTTTTACATAGAGTCTAGAAAGTCATGTAATGGAATTTGCAAACTTCTGGGATTTCTTTTGTACCCTTTAAAATCTGCTGCTGGAATACTGGTTCTAGCAGGGCACCTTTGAAGAAATACTATGACAGTTTAAAATTGGTTAAACTACTGGTTTAAAATTTTGAAGCATTTTTTAAGGTAGGGCAAGTGTGTTGTGCAAAACTCAGTTGAACCTACTATCTGAATTACTAGAGATTTAAAGATACAGTTCTGCAAAGTCATAACAAATGATAGGGCCACAGATGCATCTCCATGCAGGATAGCATCCTTCTGACTTTTTGCATATGGAATAGATGCATTACATTACACAATGAGTGCAGATAGGTATAGTTAGACAGCATTAATGGAAAAATGTTTTTTTTTTTTAAAAAAGTGACAAATCTGAAACCTCCAAGAAAGGACAGTGTTGAAACAGCAGCATAAATACCCATTCGTGTACTTCTGAGAGTATGCAAGTGGAAATAGGAAGTCTGATCTCTGAATTCAGAAAAGCAGTATTATACCAATAAGGCAAATAAGTGATGGAAAAGAATAAGGCATATATTTCAGTTCTTGAAGGCAATGTTTTGATTACTCATGTGTAATGAATATTAATAAGAGAGAGTTTTGTGAATGCTCCATGTAGCTATAATTTCTGTTATATTTGGTGTGATATCTAATATGTTTGTGGCTAGGTAGTAAGATTTGGAATTTAAGAAAAAAATTGTTACAATTCATGGAGAGGCAAATTTATGGATAGGGTGCAGATATTATAACACAATGAAGCTGCTCAGAAAGCCATAAGAATTCTGTGTATCCCATTTCCTTCCCCTGAGTAGAAGCTGCATCAAACCTGCAAATTGTTTATAGATTTTCCATTTATTAAACAAATATGGTTGTCAGAAATCACTCCCCAGCTTTAACTCTAGAAAGGAATTTAATTCTGTGCCTCATACAGGTGATTAGACTTGCCTGTCTGAGAAACTGTTTGTCAAAGTAGAAGAAAATAACACTGTATTATCCCCTCTCAAAGGAATGAGATAAAGATGAAGGAGAAAATATGAGGAGACACATGGGAAATGAGCAAATTGGATTGTGTTTTAGAGAGGAATGAATTTGTAACTAAATACTGCACATAACTGCTCATTTTTAGTATTTTTTTCTTCTGCTGCTTAAGTTGACATAGACTACAGAATAGTGGATAACTAGGGTTGTTTTTTAAATATGATTTTTAAAATGTGGGACTGTAACTGTGCCTGTGCCTTTAAAAGATCCCATCTTCTGGAGAGGTGCATTCTGGAAAGAGCAGTTAGCTGAGCAGGCAACTTCACATATACCTAGGGCAGACTTCTTCTTAAGTGTTTGGGTTTTTTTTTGTCTCCTGTCTGTGTGCTCTTTCTCCCTAGTACAGTTGCTTCAGGCAGAAGTACCACTATTTAGAAAGCATAGCTGCTTTCTAAATTGTAAATAGCTGTCTTCTTTTGGGTTTACAGGTTCCAAAATCAGCTCTCTCTGTCAATGTTATTTAGTCCAGACTACCAAAATATAGAAGGCAGCATGATTTACACAACTGTTTAAAGTCACTAACATAAAGAATCATAGAAAGAGAACAGCTTTTGCATTATTTTATGACAAGGAATGGGATCCAATGAAGCATTTTACCAGGCTCCACTTATGCTATCGCTATGTTGTTATCATGTTGGAACTCTTTTCTAAATCTTGTTAAAGAGATGTGAAATACAGGCAATGTTAATGGGATGATGTAACTCATTTCATAAATTATGGCACCCAGGCTTGAAGACTTTATTTACTGTGATCTATCCATAAGAAACTTTTTTTTAGCATATAAGTTCTTTGTTACGCACTTGTGCTAGCACAGTTAAATTTTAAGTGCAAGCAGAGACAAGGTCTTATATAACCAAAACACTAACATTGACATTTCCTAGTGATGGTATCAGTATTAAAAACAAAACAGTAATAGAAAATGTTCTTCCTGTAATGGTTAGAAAGAAAATGTGAATTACATCTACCATGACCATGTGGCTTTTATCAAATGTAGTAGATAATTTTGAATCAATGAGATTTCTGTAAACTTTCATACTCTCTAATACTGAGCAACAAAAATTGTACCAGATTGATTTGTGGTTTATTATGTCATAGCACAAAGATTGTGAGCTAAAATGTATATGTCTTAAAGTCTTTCCCATTTCTTTCAGAGAGGACTTGGATAGGAAACTCCAAGCAATAGCTGTTTCAAACCTATTGAAGACTAGCTCTAAGCAGGTTGTATTTCTAGGGTACATCACTTCAGCTCCTGGATCCAGAGACTATAATGAATTAATAAAAAATGGAAATGTGCAGGTAATATAAAAATAGTGCATATTTAGAGAAAATATATATTGGAAGCACTCAGCTTAGTATTTCAAACTAGTAACTTAAATATAGGCAGAGAAGAAAACACAAGCCCATTTTCAAATACAGTCTTTAGCTACCACAGGATATCTTGCAGAGAAGGTGGAGTTACACCGTGAAAGAACAAGAGGCAATGGACAGCAGCTGCCTCAAGGGACCTAATGTAATTTAGAAGAAATAAAAAGTTGCAGGGTTGTCGAAGGTTAGAACAGGGGCCTGGTGAAGTTGTGAAACATTCATCCTTGGAGATATTCAAAAGTTAGCTCCATAAGGCCCTGAGCAACCTGCCTGAAGTGACTTTTACCAGGGTTAGGTGACCTCCAGGCATCCTCTAATTCTGTGATTCTTTTGTTTTAAAAATGAGCTCCTCATTAAGAGATATCAAAAAATTGTCTGATTTGTCCATGTCTAACTGTGAGGTTTTTCTTTCTGCCTTATTATAATGTTTTAGGCAAAATATTTTTCTGCAGTGAGTTTGCACACTGGTCCTGTTATTGATTTAAAGCTTACCCAGATGAACACTTACCTTGTTTGTCTGACTTTTTTTCCCTTTCGCTTCTAGGATATCGACAGTACAGATAGGGACAGATGGTGTAGCTATATTATGTATCGTGGAGTAATAAGGTATGTTCAAGTGAATCACTTATTTGTAGGTTTAAATATCTTGATGGTTATTAGTTTTATAATCATCTTTAAGTGGTTGTGGAAGAATCTTACATCCCTAAACTATTATTATGGGCAGTTGGATCTATCATAAAATTATATGAAACATTGTTCTTAGGATCACAAGAACTGGTATATCTCTGAATATATTTTGCTAAGACACTATTGCAGGTTTCATCATTCTGCATCAAAATTCTTCAGATCTACTCTGCTTTGGTAACATAAAACTACATTTTTCCAAAGCTCTAGCTTTGCAACTTCATTCTAAAATGTGAATGCTAAGACCTAATTTTTGTAACATAAAACTACATTTTTCCAAAGTTCTAGCTTTGCAACTTCATTCTAAAATGTGAATGCTAAGACCTAATTTTTATGTGACACAGAAGATAGAAATTTTGAACTATGATTTTGTGGAAGCAAAATGCTGATCTAATCCAGCCAATCTTTATGCTGGATTTAGTGGAAACTTGAACTGTGTAAGCTTGGGGCACAGGACCTATGCACTCCATATCTTTTAATACCAAATTGCTTGTAAATCATGTTTGTACTGGAATGGAATTCAGCTTATTCTGAATAAACTATGCAAATTCTGCAGTGTTCACGAGTCATAAACTTGATAGCTATCTTAACAGTATTGAGTAAAAAAAAGAAAAAAAGGCAACCAAAAAAACTCAACTAAAACTCTATTTGCAATTTGAATTTTTCTTATTATTCATTCAACTGATGCTTGACTTTCTTTCATGAATATTGAAACCTTTTCAGTGAAAATTTGGTGAGCTTATACCTGCATTCATATTCTAAAGCTGTATTTTTTAAAAAAGGCTTTTAGACATAGAACTTATTTTTACTGTGAAACACGGTTTTTCAGTTTTTATGCTTGTGATATGGTGTTATAATCCTGTTTATGGAGCACTTTCAGTTTTTTGAAGGCAAGATTCACAGAAATGGAACATTGAGTTGATAAGTTCAAGCACAACTCCTGGGGAAAAAAAAAAAAAAAGATACATTAAGAATGTGTTGAAATTTTCTTGAGTTATTTCTTCAAACTAACTCATCTCATATTTGATAGGCTGGGTTATGCCCGCATATCTCATGCTGGTTTAAGTGATTCAGAAGTCCAGATGGCCAAATTTAGAATCCCAGATCACGTGGATAACTATGTGGACAATGATAGGATTGTCACTGATCCCAGCCAAGTTCCTGAGGATGTCCATTTCAATCCCAGGTCAGTGTGTCTCAGAGGAAATTAAGGGGATGATGTACCTGGCATCTTGTAAAAGAGAAGTCTAGGAACAAAATTATTTCTAAAGTGAGAGGCACTGATCAGTACCCAAATGAGCAGAAGAGTAGGAGTCAAGAACTTCTGTAATTTGTAATTCCATTTTTCCAATTGATTTGGCATATACCCTGGGAAAAACAGAGTGTTTTATCACAGCATAAATTGCAAGTAATGCTCATTTCATCCAGGCAATTTCTGAGATTGTTTGATAGGGGTATTTGCCAAGTGGTGTGGTGACTCATTTGATAGCTGATGAAAGATCTCCCATGTTTCTCAGCACTTTTGAGATTGGGCTTTTAATATATTGTTACTCAGAATATCAAATACAATATATACATTAAATACTTTTTGCATAAGCATTTAAAACCATGCCATATAATTGGAGCAAAAATTAAAAAGAGTGCCTGAGGCAGTATGTTGCATGTGTCAAGAAGAAAAAAAAAAAAGGACCAGGTTTTATGTAAAATAGTTATTTATTTCTAAATTGCTGTCATTTTTCCACTGGTATTGCATAAGGAAGAGATAGAGAGAAAAAGATATTTATTCTAGTATTGATATCAGAGAAAAAGTCATGAAGTTTGTGATAGATGTTGCCACAGAGAGATAATTCCCAGTAATGTCATGTTTACTACTCCTAACATGCATAATGCAGAATTTTTTTTCTCATATACATCTAACAGTTGAGCTTACTCACTTCTTATGTACCACTCAGCCACTGGCTTCCTGTCTTAAGCAGGAGTTTGCCCAGACTTCTCCACATGATGGAACTTGCCTACAGTTAGTATTCACCTTCAGATTTTTCTCGATTGACTTCAGCACAGAATCTTGTCCTCATTTCTTTTGTCTGCCTATAATCAGAAAATGTTTACCCTATTGGAATAGATTTAGCTTTTTCTGATTAACTCTACTTCTTTAGAAATACAATGGCACTGCTCTTAAATATTACTTAGCACTGATATTTTGAATAAGTACTCCATTTTATTTTTGCAAGTCTGTACCATAATAGTCAGTTGTCAAAACTCTCACATTTAAATTTGGAATGAAAAACTACAATTTTCACCACAATTTTCAAAAGCAAAGTGTACAATATTAATAACAGGGTTATTTTGACTATTTTGATACTATGGGTGTTTAAATTGTATCTCCATTGAAACTGGGACTAAAAATGTAGCTTAGAATTTAAGTAGATAAATGCAAAACTCAGCTTTCTGGAGTTCCAATAATAGACTGCCTATAGCATCAGCAGAATCAATGTAATTAATTGTCTCCACTATACTCAAAAACCTTTAGTAGGAGAGGGTACTTAGAACCTGATTTACATTTAATAGAGATGGGGCCTGTTTCTGAAATAAATTGCCTAGGACATTCAGAAGTAGGGTAGTAATTGTATGATTTAATTACTTGGGTTAAATAATGTTGTAATAGTATTGCTCTGTTGAATATTTTTCTTAGGTTTGGATCTTACAAAGATGGACATAATTATGTGCCTATTCATCACTTTCATATGAGCACTCCTAAATATTTTAAACAGACAAATTAGAGGAAGAAAATAAAATACTATTGAGACCAACAGGAAAGGTTTGCTGCTTGAAACTGAATTGGCAGTCCAAAGGACTACACTGTTTAAGGATGAGCAACTCCCATGCTGCACAACACTGTGAATGTCTATGTAGCTGCTGCCTTTCTTCTTCAATGAGCTGCCATCACTATGAGGGAGGGAAGATGCATGCATTTTCGTAAACTGGTATCTACCTTGGCCAGATACCTGCTTTGTATGCAACAAAGCAAGGGTGGGAACTTGCTGTGGCAACAACTTCTTCTGCTTTTGTGGAGGTATCAAGTATCAGAGTGCTATTGCAATAAAAATCTCGGCCTTATGTTTTTCAAAATAGGAATGGAACTGGTGTATTTTTAAATTGGGAGAGATGCAGTAAGTATGTGTTTAAAGTGTGAACATTTTCAACTCAAACAGTATTTACATCTGCTGCTATTCTACGTTTTATTCTTAAATGACTTTTACAACAATTTGATGTTCATAATACAGGAGAAAAAGAGGTGACTTTAATAGACTTCATTTTATTAGAATAAATATATTAGACATATATGGATATTAGACACTTCAATGTTTTTACAAAAGGGAGAGTACCTCTGAATAAGGATGGTTATGAGATACATGAACACACTGACAAAGAATTGAAAACAATCATGCTCAACATAACGAGGTTTCTGAGAAGGGAGAAAAGTTGGATGTAACTTTTACTTAAAATGAACCATAATAAAGAAAAAAAAAAAAAAAGAAGAGAAAAGAAAAAGATGTGACACTGTGTAAAATGTTGTCTTCTCAGGGTCTCGTGGCAATGGGTTTTATATTTAGCTCCTGGTCCTTCAGTATATGTGCAGAGCTTCCCTTTAACAATGAGGACATCTTCAGTGTTGTCCAAAGGATGTTTCCTGCTTGTGAGAAACATGTTAGGTAAATTAAGTGATGCATTCAATTTGGAAACCACATTTGTGATGTTGGTATTTAATACTGTGTGTTATTCCAGTAATATCTAAGCATAACATAACTATAAGGAATAGGATATGTTGCAGGAAAGAGGCTGGATTTTTTTTTTCCCTCTAAGTCTTTGCCATATACTTTTAAGAACAGCTTGACTGTACTCAATTTTATTGTTTCTCTATGTAGGCAAATACAGGATGCGGTTTTACCACCCAGGGTTTCTTGTTCTGCGGAGTCAGGTAATTGCTGCCAGTACCACACTTGTCACTTTATTCTGGTCACCTATCATTTTGCTCCCTGGTTTTTAGAGCTGTGTTTCTGAGGGTGAAACTGATCACTGGTCTTTGTGGACAGAGGATATCTGAAAGGCATTTAAAAGTCTCAGTGGTTATTTATTCATTATCTCAGATGTAACTGACAACCAGCTATTGCTGAAATAATTTTTCACCTATGGTCTGTGTGTCTTTACAAGCCCTCTGAACTTATTCTTTGTGTGACTCTCCAGCAAGACAGGATAAATTATGTTGTGGACTGATACAAATTACTTTCTTTGTTCTTTTACTGCAGTTTTCTGCAAACACCAGTAGCCCTTGTCTCTTCTTCCTCCCAGCTTGCAAAAGCAGCTGGCACTGGCACCAGCGTTGCACAGTGTTCTGAGCATCCTCGTTTATTTTCAGCATGCTCTCATGCTAGCTCTGATGCAGAGCTAGCCACGTCCAGCCACAGGTTTGCCTTTTCATAGTCTGTAGAACACATAACATTATCTTGCCACATTACTTAACATTCTCCACAGGCTGGCTTTGCAAATACCTTGTAATGTGAGCAGTTTGTTAATGTGAAATGCAAGAAATGCTACGTATAAGTACAAAAATCTAGAAAACTCCTGATTTTTTAACAATTAAAAAATAGAATGGAGATATTTTTCAAGAAGCCAGACACCGTAACATGACTTGCATAACAGATCAGATTACAAATCATATCTATATGTAATCTTCAGAGTCTCTGAGCATATTTTGATGGATTTTTTACAGGATGCTCACCCCATTAGGAAGGTTCACGTTGACCACATGTAGTGAAAAAATCTAAAGTTTGAATATTCTCTTCTTCTAAGTAGCTTGTGTAGTTTAATGTATGTAATTGGTAGTTAATATTTGTTGACATTTGCACTATTTTATCAGAATGATTAAGAAAAAACATGACCACAAACTGTTTGTACACTTATTCTACTACTGTGGTTAGAATGGGGAAGCTAAAACTAAATTTTATTTGTCCTTATATCTACACACTTATCTAATCCCTTGTATCTCAGCAGTTTAGAAAAATGTGCATTATATATCTAAGTCACAATCACTGTTTCCAGCTATGACAGAAATGTGCTAGAACAGGTCCTGCTTGCAGGGGTGTGTGACTAATCTTTTAGTTTTCTAGTCATACTCTCTTCATCTCAGCTTTCATAAGAAAGTATGTTATGAAAGAAAAAGTTTGTGGATATCTTTATGCATTCAGAGATGGCATGCAAAGAAAAAAATGTATAAAATAAGCAGTATTTACTAAAGGTTTGAACTTTTGCTTGTGGTAAAATGTCTAGATTACATAAATCTGACTTCTAAAAACAGTATGTATTCTGTTGTACTCCAAATCAAATCCTCTGAAATTCTGTGCAGGTCAGTTGAAGTTAGTAGGAATGTACAGGAAGAGACAGCAGTACACCAGGGGCCTACCAGTGTGTATCTTGGAATAAGAAAGAACTCCAGGTAACCTATATGAGAGCAACTTCTGAGAGTAATTGTGCTGGATTCTTTAGCAGGGTGGAGACTCCAGTCTCCTCTTACAGATATGTTCCTGTCTTGACTCAGGCACAGTGACTCTGTGACTGTTGTTACAGAGCAGTCCAAAACCTGGGAGCTCCAGTTCAAACCTTGGGCTAAGAAAATCCTGAAATTTCTATTTCCCATTGTCAAAAACAGTGTTGCAGCTGCAAGCTGAGCAAGAGTTGGACACACCCTTTGGTTTTGAACCAGAGTTGATGTTATTGAAACAAGCTGTTGCAGCTTAAGCTTACAGGCAGCCAGTTCCCACCTGTCTCACTGAAACAGAACATTGAGAATGTTCACAGTCCTCTGCTGATAGTGAGGGAGCTTTGTGGCCCCAGACAGAGTTGCTGGCTGTTTTGATGTACCCCCAGGGCTCAGGAAGAAATTCTTACCTGCTCTCAAGCTTGGCTGCTTGGAGTTGCCTCATGATGAATGAAGAGAACGTAAAATATTAAACTGAAGCTGAAAGAAAACGATAACTGGAGTGTAAGAATTTAAGTATGAACTGCCCTAAAATATGACTTTTCTCGTGTATGTAAGATGACATTTGTTTTCAGGACATTACTGAAGGACCTTTGGGGCCAAAGTAACATGGAACAAGTTAGAGAACAGGCCTTTCCACTTTAACAGGGAACATAGTATGGGTGCATAGGACTGGGATATTAAAACGAGCTGAACTGTTTAATGAGTAGTGCTTTCAAGGAGTTTGTATAATCTGCAGCTGCTGCTTTCTGCCACTTGAGGTCCTCAATTAGTAATAATTAGTACAGTTTGCTGATACCAAGCAGGAGTAACTCACAGGTGTTAAGCTTTTTCATTGTAACTCTGAGGATGAAAATTCTTTTCCAGAAGCATTACACAAAGCTGTGTTGACTTGGGTATCAGTTACCTTTTCATATCTGCAAGTGATTTGGAACTATGATTGCTGGTCCTCTTGTAGGTACTTTGTTTATTTTCTTACAATACCCTGCACTGTGCTTTGTTGCTGTTTTATCTGCTTTCTAAATGTTCGGCAATTTTCTTTGTAATGTTTTTCTTTTCAATACAATTCTCTTCCCCCTCTAACTTGTAAAACACATCATAGCTTGTGATTCCAGTGCTTAAAATTAACTTTCAAGCTTGTTTCTAAGCAAAGCAACGTGAATAAAAGTATTCAACAGATACAATGGCTTTAGCAATCTGGAGTCTGATATTCCTTTTGGAATTTCTTTCTCAAAGATGCATCTGCACTGTTTCCTGATAGTGAAGAAGATATAACTGAGTAAATGGCTCCTCTTTCTCATCTTATCAAGTATTTTTCACAGTCCACAATTAAATTTTTTTTATGTGATTGCCATTTTAGCTATCAATTAAAAAAACAATGCAAACATTAAAAAATCCAAAGAATGGCAGTCTTCAGAAAAAAGAAAAAAATGTCTGCAGTTTCAAGTTTGCTCTAACAGTGTGTAAAGTGGCAGATGCATTTGCTGCCACTCTCCACTTCCATGGTTTGTTATTCCTTTCCTGTGCATTGATGGAAGCACTTGCACATATGTGTAGTAAGCCAGATCTGGATATTCAGCTGGCCGGGAAAACAAACAAATAAACAAAACTAAATGAAGTGTTGAGGGGAGTTTTGTTTTGGGATTTTTTGTTTTTTGAGAGCATTGAGGACAGCCTTGCTCTTTCACCTACCTTGCTATTTAGCTGTCCAAGTGATTGCATTGGCACAAAAGAAAGGATGCCAGGAGGGTTAGTATTAAGACGCTAATGGTAGAACTGCTTAAGCTGTCTCTGTCCATGTGGTGGTTCCACCCTGGCTAGATGCCAGATGCCCACCACAGTCACTCTATCACTCCCCTGTGCAACTGGACAGGGGAGAGAAAATATAGTGGATGACTTGTGGATTGAGATAAGAACGGGGAGAGATCACTCAGTTAGTATTATTGGCAGAACAGACTTGACTCGGAGAAATTAATTGAATTTTTTGCTAATCAAAATCAGAGCAGGACAATGAGAAATAAAACAAATCTTAGGAGCACCTTTCTCCTGCCCCTCCCTTCTTTCTGGGCTTAACTTTATTCTAAATTTTCTGCTCCTCCCACACAGTGGCTCAGGGAGATGGGGAATGGGGATTATGGTCAGTTTATCACATGTTGTTTCTCCTGTGCTTCCTCCTCAGGGAGAGGAGTCCTTCAGCTGCTGCAGTGTGGGGTCCCTCCCATGCGATACAGTCCTACTCAAAGT